TCTAGTCTGATTTTTTTATTCCACGTCACTGGATCAGGTAGGTAGAAGCTTCTTTTATTTTTATCCTCTAAGTTACAGGATGGTGAAGAGCTGCAATAAAACCTGATTGAGGGGCTGGCGCCGTGGCTCACTTGGCTAATCCTCCGCCTGAGGCGCCAGCATCCCAAATGGGCTCCGGTTCTAGTCCCGGCTGCTCCTCTTCCATCCAGCTCTCTGCTGTGGCCAGAGCTGTCGCCCGGGAAGGCAGTGGAAGATGGCCCAAGTGCTTGGGGCCCTGCACCCCCATGGGAGACCAGGAGGAAGCACCTGGTTCCTGGCTTCGGATCGGCACAGTTCCGGCCACTACGGCCATTGGGGGGGTGAACCAACGGAAGGAGGACCTTTCTCTCTCTCTCTCTCACCGTCTATAACTCTACCTGCCAAAAAAAAAAAAAAAAAAAACCTGATTGAACCACACTAATTGAGGAATGGATATCATACAGATAACTGAAGTCAGAGTGGCTCAGTCATGTCACTTCACAATACAGTATGTATGTGATTTTGGATTCTTTCTCACCAGTGAAAAGTGTGAACATCTTTGGCATTGTATATAAGAGAGTTGGTATAGGGTTTAGTAGGAGCATTTTTACAATTTAATGCAATACAGCCATGTGTATGTACTGATCACTGAAGAGGTTACCACATCTTCAAATGAGTCATTAACAGGAAAAAATACATCAGAAAGTGTTTTTCAAAAGAAATATGTTATTAGAAAAAAAAATGAAGGCAACTCAGAGTCTTCAGTGATTTGATATTTAAAGCAACATGTGCTAAAAGTTAATTATAGATCCCCAGCATTATGCCAAGGGCAAACAGATGCAAGGACTAACACACTGGCTGAGAAGTACTCACAGTCTGTCCCTGCAGAGAGGACACCATCACCACTGACTCCCACATCACGTTCCTTTGAACACGGAATGATGTGCTCAATGATACATGGATCTGGCCCCCTGAAAAACCACTTCCTAACAGACACCCCACAAGACTGAGGGAAAGCCCCCATGCCAGCCTGCAAAGTGAGGAACTACTACTGCCTGCAGGTGACATGCTACTTCTTCCCAGCTCACTCCTCCCCTGGCCAGACATTATGCAGATAGAAGCATGTAGGGAGATTAAAAATTCATTAGATCTTTCTGTCTGGAAGTAATATACACGAAAGTGCCTCGGGCTCAGCTTTTTAGCTGATCCTTAACACAACATCTCCAGATGTCTCATTCACCTCTCTTCTGGATTCATCTTCATAACACAGATTCTGTTTTATAACTTTCAGGGCAGGCCTTCTCTCTTCCCCATTCATGAGATAAAAATGATATGATATGGAAATGGTAATTACAAACACATGATGTACCAAAGATAAAGTTAGGAAAATAACTTTAGGAAGAAATAAATTAGACTAAAAACTTCCCAAGGCATTTCTGTTTGTCTAGAATGTAGGGTGGTAAGGAAAGCACAAGCTTTGCAGGCAAATGATTATGCAACATCATTCTCTAAGATCTTTTTTTTTTTTTTTTTTTGACAAGCAGAGTTAGTGAGAGAGACAGAGACAGAGACAGAGAGAAAGGTCTTCCTTTTTCTGTTGGTTCACCCCCTGAATGGTCGCTACGGCCAGCGCGCTGCACTGATCCGAAGCCAGGAGCCAGGTGCTTCCTCCTGGTCTCCCACATGGGTGCAGGGCCCAAGCACTTGGGCCATTCTCCACTGCCCTCCCGGGCCACAGCAGAGAGCTGGACTGGAAGAGGAGCAACCTGGACAGAATCCGGCGCCCCAATCAGGACTAGAACCCGGGGTGCCAGCGCCACAGGCGGAAGATTAGCCAAGTGAGCCACAGCACCGGTCTCTCTAAGATCTTACCAACTACTTCTAAGTGGCAGTAATACTTCCAAGGTTGCCTTAAGAGGTTTAAAATATGAATTCATGTTAAACATTGAAAGGAAAAAAAAAAAAACCCTGTAAGAGTGATAATCTAGTAAGAATCATAACAATGCTAGCTGACACCAGGAAAATGAAAAAAATAGGATAAAAAGATGTAAATACATGGGAGGGCAGCTGGGAAGCTAGCAATATGAAAACAAATGTTTGTAAGATAGTCACACTATAAGGAGCAACTTGTATGGACCTCATACAGAATATAATATTCAAATGAAGAATTTCAAACTATTTATTACTTTCTCTAATGGAACCACAAGAGTACAATTCATTGCCAAATGGAAACTAAAAATAGATTAATGAACTGTTGTGTTTATCAGCTTTGTTTACTGAGAAATTAATGAAAATACTAAAGAACACCCTTCTTTGTTCTCAGTTGGGATACCAATTTAAAAAATATATTAAGCTGTACTGGTGTTTACAGAAAATTTTCCATACAGTCTACATCTGTTTCCAACACATATTTGGGATATTTTCACATGTCACTAACACCATCATGTCTCGCAAATGACTAAGTCAAACAAAGAACCAGTATACTTTTAAAAAAAATCCTTTATTCATTTCCCTTTTTGTAATCCTAACTAATCAAGCCAGTAGAGCTAAGACTTTCTGAGGAATATTCCATATAATAATGTTGGGAGACAGCATGTGACAGAGGCCACCACCTGTGACACTGGCATCCCATGAACACAGGTTTGAGTCCCAGCTGCTCTACTTCTAATCCAGCTCCCTGCGCTAATGCACATGGGAAAGCCCTAGAGGATGGCCCACATCCCTGAGCTCCTGACACCCTTGTGGGAGACCCAGATGGAATTCTAGGTTCCTGGCTCTGGGGAGCAAGCCAGTGGATGGACGATCTCTTTGTCTCTCCCTAACTCTACCTTCCCAATAAATAATCTTAAAATAGCAATAATTTATTTTTATTTTTTTTAAAGAATTACCTTATTTCTTTGAAAGAGAGGTAAAGCCAGAGAGAGAGGTCTTCCATCAGCTGGTTCACCTCCCAAATGACTGCAATGGCCAGAGCCGAGTTGATCCAAAGCGAGGAGCCAGGAGCTTTCTCCAGGCCTCCCACATGGGTGCAGAGACCCAAGGACCCAGGCCATCCTCTACTGCCTTCCCAGGCCACAGTAGAGAACTGGATTGGAAGAGGAACAGCTGGGATTCAAACCGGTGCCCATATGGGATGTCGGCACTGCAGGTTGGAGATTTAACCCACTGCACCACAGCGCCGGCCCCAAAATAGTAATAATTTAAAAACAGAATGTTGGATTTCCCTTCCCATCACATTGAAGAAACATGATGTTATGCTCTGAACAGGAATTATCTCCCCAAACTCATGTACATGTTTAAACCCAAAAGTCTTATGTCAACATAAATGGTTAGTTATTGATGGAATAGGATAGAGGCTTGATCCAGTTACAGTGTCTGAAGGTGAGACCTTTGGGAAGTGATTGGATTGGTATGGTTGCAAAGGTGGAGCCACATGAAGAAATCATCATGACACTGCAAGGAGAGACCACACAGAGGGTAGATGAAGTTGTACTCCTGTATTTTTCTGCTTACTGGCTCACCTTGCCATCTCCCTTGAAACCTGTTCTGCCCTCATTAGACACCAGACTGATGGGGCTAACTGATCATAGCCTGTGAACCTCTAAAATCTGTTAAGTCAAAATAAATTAAGATGCTTCTCTCGTCTAGTTATAGTTACAAAAACCTGGCTAATCACATGGTAATGTTGAAGAGTGTGTGAGGTGTATGGTTAAGCCAGGTTTACAGTGTTTAAACTGCCATACATTGTAACTGCAATTTGGTAGCTCACTTTCCTCCACTGAGTTGACTCTTACCTCTTCATACTGAACTGGGGATCAAACAATGTCTTCTTAATGTTTTTCTACCCTTCTCTCCTTCCAGTATCACTGCCATCACCAAGTTAGATAACAGCAATTAATGATTATGATGACCACTGACAATAAACACCATCATGATGTTTTGTCACAACAGTTGCTTTTTGGTTTCTTTGCTTCCCATCTCTCCCTGTCCTGTTGTGCTCTGTATACTGTACTAGACCAATTTTCCTGAAACTTGAAAAATGACCTAATCATTTGCTACTAAAATCATCAAACGATGATTTCAATTATCATCTACATTTGTAAGGTAAAATAAAAATTCCCTAGGCTGATATGTAAAGTCTTCAAATATGACCCAAATTAAGCTTCCAGTCTTGGCCGGCACCGCGGCTCAATAGGCTAATCCTCCACCTAGCAGCGCCAGCACACCAGGTTCTAGTCCCGGTCGGGGCGCCAGATTGTGTCCCGGTTGCCCCTCTTCCAGGCCAGCTCTCTGCTGTGGCCCGGGAGTGCAGTGGAGGATGGCCCAAGTCCTTGGGCCCTGCACCCCATGGGAGACCAGGAGAAGCACCTGGCTCCTGCCTTCAAATCAGCGCGGTGCGCCGGCCGCAGCACACCAGCCATGGCGGCCATTGGAGGATGAACCAACGGCAAAAGGAAGACCTTTCTCTCTGTCTCTCTCTCTCACTATCCACTCTGCCTGTCAAAAAAAAAAAAAAAACACCTTCCAGTCTTATATCCTATAATTGACCTAAATACATTTACTCCAAAGTCACAACTTTTTATGAAAACTTCTCACTCCAGGTGTTAAATGTACCCCTAATATTTGTGGGCATGCACCTAACCTAAAGAATAATTACTAAACATGGACAAAAACAGAATGTGGAGATACTTTCAAATCTCAGATTCTGTCCTTGAAGGATTGTTCTTACAATTTTGCCCAAGCAGCCACCACAAGAAAATCATGTCATATATTTATAAGCAAACATAAGCAATTCATTTTATCAATTTATTTTTAATTTGTAAAAATAAACACATCTTTTTCATGAAGACAGAGACTTTTGTCTGTCATCCTAGGGAACCTCAACACCTTTAACTCTACCTGGCACCTAGTATGACATAACTACTTGGAGATGACTAAACCAGAATAAGCAATAGAAAAAAAAAAATAGTTCACATATAGTCTTTGGTTTAATATTTATTGGTAGAAAGAGGTCATCAATGCATATTTTGTGTTTTATAAACCTTACATTCTCTTAATGATATTTTGTTTTATTTGGAGTTTCCTGGCCTCCAAGTGAAGTTAACTTATCTATGCATGTAATTCTACATTGACATTTTTTAAGTTTTAAAACTAAGTATGAGAAACCATGCATATTATATACCTCACTTAATAGTACAAAGAATTATTTGCACATTCAAAAAAAAAAAAGGCTGAAATCAAGTTAAATAACCTATGTGTTCTAAATTTTCCACATTCCATTTCTGAATAAAGAAATACTTGTTCAGTGTTATATATTGCTTGTTGTCTACTAAGATTGTCAGAGACGCTTTAGTATATTATCTCTATTTTTAAATTACATCTTAATCCACTTCAAGAGATAATCTCATCAACATTAAACATTATGCCATATGCAGTATTGTTCCAAAAGCTTAAATAAGAATCAAACTTTAAGTTTTTAGACTGAATATTTTAACCTTAAAATTATATAACTATATATACACATATGGTAGGCTACATAGTAAATCATTTCAAGTAACTTAAATGTATTTAGCAAACATTCAGCCAAAACTCTTTCAAAGGCTTATTTAGATATCGATGTCTAGACATAGTACTATGCCTATGAAACTTGAAAATCCAAGTAAAGTCTGCTGTAGTATTAAGAAAAAGAAGAATGACTTTTAACCTACTGAACTGTGCAATACAAAAGTGCTTAGCATGACAAAATTACCAAAATAAAAACATTTTAAAGGTTATTTGGTTCTAGCAATAGTAACTATTCTGTACTTTTGGATAATTTAACATTTGCATTTTAAATTTTATATAAATTTTCTCTTTTTAACAAGTTAAAAAAGCACACAAAAAATAGTCCAAACTATAATCTATTATTTTTCATCCTGGATTTAGCTCATCGCAAATAACTAAACAAAAGAATTCCTGAATACTCAACCCTATTAAAATACAATATCTGTCTAGATCTCATTATTTTACCCATTGTTTACTATACTGGACCCTAGAACAGGCTGCCGACAGATGGGACAAGTGCAATTCTCGGAGAGCCACCGGTCAATACAATGAATGTGAAACTCATGCATGCAAGGTAACTGCCTGAGCTTGTTTCCAGTTACGTAGTCACTGATGCAAACACTACAGATTTTACTTAGCTCACTATCAAAACTGTTATGCTCATAGTTCCTAGTGGAAAGATTGTCAATCTGCTCTTTGGTTAAACCACGGATTCGGTCATCATCATCACCTTCATTTAGTAAAAAGAAATGAGCAAGGCGAAGAATAGGTAGGGTCCCAGTCTCAACTAAATTGTTTGAATTTCGCAACTGCCTGCCACCTCTACTGTCATGGTTTTGGCTATGAGGCTGGGTGCTCTCATTTTCCCCATGCATTTCAATGCTGTCATCTTGGGCCCTCATGTCTTGAGAGGAACCTTCACTGTGCTGGCTGCTGTCGTTAGCTGTAGCTAAGTTACTCAGTTCTGAGTGCATCTCTGGCAAGTGCTGATCATGTCTTTGAATCTCTGACTCAGATTCAGCCTCCATTAGAGAACTCAATTCTCCAAACCCAGTCATGATCTGCCTTAAAATTGACCTCAGAGCAACTGATGATGGCTCAACAAGTTCATTCTCAGAAATCCTCCGAAGAGGAACTGTAATAGTACTCACGTAGGTTCGAATCCCTGACCTCTCTAAACGAGAAATAGTTCGGCGAAAGCCCCCACTATTGCTTTCAATAGTGACTGTATTTTCTGCTAGCCCTACTCTCGATCGAGTTCTGTTTGCAATACTATCCCGATCTCTATTTTCCCCAGGACGAATCCTTCTCACTTGAAGGTCCAGGGTGATTGTTGGATGCCGTCGTACAGCAGTTGAGGATCTGCTGGATTCTTCACCTTCTTCTACTGTGATTCTTGACACAAGTCTTGAATTCGAGAATGGGGTATATGCGGTACCTCTGCGTCCTCTATCTTGCTCTACAAAGACATGAGTTAGACCTCTTCTTCTCCTAACAGACCTTCTAGTGGTTTGCTGTACAGGTCTACCTTCCCTTTGGGAATTATGAACAGTGCCGCTCTGTCTCTGAATTGGTGACCGGCTTCGACTACTGAAGGTAGATCGTAATCTAATTGGCTCTAATCTTTGGTTTGTATTCCTCACTGTAACATTAGTTCTAGCCCCATTTTCCCAAACATGTGCTGCCCCAAATCGTTGCCCCTCCCTTTGCCTGAGTTCACTGCCACCTGACTGATTTGTATGACTACTCAAATTAGGGTGTGAAGCATTTGTTCTAGGGATGCCAGCTGTGCCCCTAATTCCATTTCTCAACCTTCCCAATGGTGAGGATGATCCTTCGACTGAATTCCGCCCCCTTGAACCAAGCCTAGTCCTTGGAGTGTTGGAACCACCACCATTAAAATTCATTGAGGTTTGGCTTCTTGTTCGACTAGCCACAGGACTACTTGATCTTTGTTGCCTACTTCTAGTGTGATCTCTGTTAATATCTGAAAGTGGAATGTGCATATAATCTTCTCCATCAATTTCAAGTCCTCTATTTTCATGATTGATGTGGATTTCCAGACTAAACCGAAACTCTCCACTGTTTGGGTTTGTTCGACTCACAGCTCTCCAAGTTTGGTTCCCATTTTGTCCACTTCGAGTTGCATTTCCTGTGCGACGAAAGGTGTTCAGCCATTCAAGCAGGGAATCTTCATTTGAACTTTCTCTCGGGACTGTTGGGTCTGGAAAGCAAATCAAATCAAATCAGTCTGAGATCAATTCCTAAAAGCTATCTTTAGATTTTTATTGACCACTTGTAAGAAAAATAAAGTCTGCAGTAAATTAAAGAACATCTGTGTATTTTAGTAAATAAAAAAAATGCCAAAAAAAAAAAAAAAAAAAACCAACAACTGGGCCCACCACCCTGAACTTCCCTGATTTTAAAAAACAAAGTTATTTTTTGGAAAGGCTGAGTGACAGAGAGGGAGGGAGATACAGAAATACAGACACACAAAGAAAAAGAAAGAGAGAGAGAAATCTTCCATCTACTGTTTCATTCCCCAAATATCACAACAGCCAGGTCGAAGCCAGGAGCCAGGAACTCCATTTTGGTCTCCTATACAGGTGGCAGGGGCCCAAATACATGGGCCATCTTCCACTGCTTTCCCTGGAACTTCAGCAAGTAGCTAGATAGAAACTAGAGGGACTTGCATTATGGTATAGCAGGTTAAGCCACCAACTGTGATGCCAGCATCCTATATTGGTGCCTGTTTGAGTCCCAGCTGCTCCACTTCTGATCCAGTTCCCTCCTAAAATGCCTGGGAAAGCAGTAGTGGATGGCTCAAGAGCATGGTTTCCTGCACCCACGTGGGAGACCTGGAAAAATCTCCTGGCCCCTGGCTTCAGCCTGGTCCAGCACCAGCCATTGCGACCATTTAGGGAGTGAACCAACAGACAGAAGCACGCACACGCACGCTCTCTCTCTCTCTCTCTCTCTCAGCAGATGGAAGATCTCTCTCTCTCACTCTAACTCACTTTCACATAAATAAATCTCAAGAGAAAAAGAAACCAGAGAAGCTAGGACTCAAACCAGCACTCCAATATGAAATGCCAGTACCATAAACTGTGGCTTAATCTGCTGTACCACATGCTGACCCCAAAACAGGAACTTTCTAAAAGTAATGTACTATAAAAAATATTGTAAAAACTAAAATATCATGTATGTATTTATAAAAATCTAAACACCACATTTGAAAAAGTTGTAGTGAAATCCTCATTCCTGGGGCTGGCGCTGTGGCACAGTAGGCTAAATACTCCACCTGCGGCGTCAACATCCCATATGGGCGCCCGTTCTAGTCTAGGTTGCTCCACTTCCAATCCAGCTCTCTGCTCTGGCCTGGGAAAGCAGAAGATGGCCCAAGTCCTTGGGCCCCTGCACACATGTGGGAGACCAGGAAGAAGTGCCTGGCTCCAGGCTTCAGATTGGCACAATTCCAGCCATTGCGGCCATTTGGAGAGTGAACCAATGGAAGGGAGACCTCTCTGTCTCTCCCTCTCACTGTCTGTAAATCTACCTCTCAAATAAAATAAATAAAATCTTTAAAAAAGAAAAAGAAATACTCATTCCTGTTTTGTTTGCTCACATATTAACAAAATATGAAAGTAAACAAAGAAATAAATCCAGTACCAAAAGTGTACATTTAAATTGCTTCATTGATACAGCAATATTAATAAAATACAATGGCAAATTTTTATGTAAAATTCACCTTTTATCTGTGGAATCTTTCTGGTAAAGCCAATTCATTCAACATTTTCACAATTAGGTTTTGTATCACCTTAGGAATTTAATAATATTTCTCAGAAACTGCCAAAAATATACATCTCAAGAAATCTGGCTTTCTGAACTTAATGCTAAAATCACATTACATATATTTGTGTGAAACTGAGAGACTACAAGCAAGTTATTTAAGTTCTCTATGGCTGTATTCTTGTGTGTAAATTGGAAATAACAGTATCAATCTCGAAGGGTTACCATGAGCATAAAGTAAGACATATATATAAAATAATCAATTCAATATCTGGCACACAGGGAGCACTACTACACCAATGTCAGCTATTATACATGAAACAGTAAAATATATTTTACATCCATTAGAACACTTGCTTCAATCACTGTTGTATCTCCAGTCACTATAACAATATCCAGCATAAATCAATTAGTAGTCGAATGAATCAATTTAGAAATAAAAGTCTCCTAAACATCTTTGACTATGATACTGCCACTTTGACTATGATACTGCTACCAAGCTTGAATTTTCCATTTGCAAACAGTGGATACATAAAGCACAAAGCTCAATGAAAAGCATTCTGATGCTCATTAGACTTTGACTTTGAAGTTTGTTCTATTCCAAAATAGCTATTAAAGGAGACTGTTTTGGTTTTATTTCATTACTGCAGTCTCTCTCATAAAAAAAAAAAAAAAAACAACTTTTTTAAGTGTTGAAGTTAAAGCTATTATTAATCAGCTGCTGGTGCCAATAAAACAAACAATATATTTTAAAGATGATGACCTCCTTTACATGTGATGAACACAATTTCTATTACAATGTGTGCAAAGCCCAGAATTACCAGTTACAGTGATATGGTACAAATCACGTATCTAACAAAGAAAATGGCTTACAATCCAGTTTCCATTTTAGTTTGGAAAAACATATGGTGAAAAGGCAGTTAAATATAATCATTCTAAATGCTACTTCCCTCTTTGATTAGCTAGAATATAGTATGATATGTGTGAGGCTTTGTTCCTGTCTATTCAACTCTGTCCTATTCTTCTCCCACTGTAAAAGCATGGTCAACAGGCAAGTGGACAGCCTGCTAATTAGGTAAGGTCTTGGATTAAGTCATCATCAATGGAATGAGAGCAGAAGTGATATGAGCTACTGTCAGGTTGGTGCCTGGACTTCCTTCCTGAGGGCTAGAACCCAGACTCCATGGTTTTGACTTAGCTCGATCTTGCAAATGATTCCATGGAACAGCAGCATCAGTGTCAAATTTAGGATGATACCAGAGATGTTCTGAATTCGTGCTGTCCAATACAGAAGCCACTAGTCACCTGTGACTACTGAGCACCTGAGTGTGGTAGGACTGAGAAACTGAAGTTTTATTTAATTTCCATTAATTTACAGAGCCACATGTGGCTGGCAGCTATTGCATGGGACAGCACAGCTGCAGAACCTCTCTGCTAGTTAGGTCGGTCCCAGGAGGATTTGTGGAACAATCTGTTCCCTGGATTGTTAACATGAGAGAGAAATGAATGTCTATCTTATTGAGCCAGGATATTTTGGGGTTTTTATACAGACTTCATTGTATCTAATATAATGATTCTGATATGACACTTTTAATAATGAATACCTCTCAGGAGAGAAGTAAGATTAGGAAGGACATGAGACTTGGCTTTTACTTTTAACTCTATCTACTTCTATTTAGTTTAAAGATTTTTTGTTTTTATTTTTTTTAACAGAGGCTTCGTTTTTCCTAAGAGGTCTTTATGTTATGGCTTAGTGTTTCCTCAAAAAAATGACAAACAAACCAACAAACAAAACAAATAGGAAGAGGTCTCCTGACTCTGTATTCTGTATATAAAAAAAATTAAGAAGCTCAGGCCAGCTCAGCTCCAGCCGTTATGGCCATTTGGGGAGTGAACCAGTGAATGGAAGACTGTCTCTCTCTCTCTCTCTCTCTGCTCTGCCTCTCTGTAACTCTGCCTTTCAAATAAATTAAATTTTAAAAATTCAGAAACTAACTTTATTTGCATTGTTTTAAAAAAGTAGTGAGTACATTCTAAGATTAAAAAGAACTCTAACTTAATCACATATTATTCCATACAAATAAGCTTCCTGAAGGCAATCTATTTAACACATCTTATTAGTTATTCCATTCTATATTGCCTAACCATACCACTTTGCATATAATACTCAAACATAAATATTATCTGAATATATTAAACATGAAAAGTTAAATTAAACACAGTGTACAAGATCCAGCATTTTCATTTCTGCAACTGCTCCACTCAAGCCTGTCCCTTATGGAGAAGGTTCCACAGTACCTCTGTTGCTTGTCGCATTTCTCAGGTCAGGCTGAGATGCTAATTGTTCCTTAACTCCATCTAACCGCTGCTGCAGCTCTTCTGATGTTATTTCTCCTAAGACAATGAAAAAGTGCAAAGAATTTGAAATTATCAACTTTTATGAAATCTCACAAAGGATTAGACTCATTTTTAATAACTTACAGAATCTCTTATTTTCATTTAGTCTGTAAATTGAAGATAGTTAAAAATATTCAACTGATAGAAATATACATCAGTTTGGTTTATTAGAATTTATTAAAATTTAATTTGAATAACTGGCAGTGTTGTCAGCAAATGTACTTAGGAACTTTTAAGCTGTAATTCTGTGGATTTTTGTCAAAGTTAAAAAAGAAGGGAGCTAACAGTGTGGTGCAGCAGGTTAAGCTGCCATTTGTCATACCAGAATCCCATATGGGCACCAGTTCCAGTTCCAGCTACTTCACTTCCAATCCAGCTTCCTGCTGATGCACCTGGGAAAGCAGCAGCAGACGGCCCAGTGCTTGGGCCCTTGCCACTCATGTGGGAGACCTGGATGAAGCTCCTGGCTTCGGCCTGGCCCAGATCTGACTGTTGTGGCCACTGGGGAGTGAACCAGAGGATGGAAAATCTCTTGCTCTCTCTCTCCCTCTCCTCTCTCTGTAACTCTGCCTTTCAAATAAATAAATCTTTAAAAAGAAATAAGAAATGAGAATTTCTAGGGAAAATTCCAAATCTATATTTACATGAATTTTACCTCAATATTTTCATTAGATGATCATCAATACACAATATATAAACATACAAATTTCAATTAGTTCATTTGTAAAATGAATCTAAAAATTTATAGTACACATTGGGCTTTAGGGGACTCATTCTTCTGAATAAACAAATTATAATATCTTGAGTTAGAACTGAATGCTGAACTATATTTGTTCAAATATTATTTAAGAAAAATAAACCATATATGTGAAAATTTAACATTATATATGTATTCCTGTTTGTTAGTTTGCCATTGGTATAATACATCCAATATTCTCACCTATTTTTAAAATATAGAAGTCAGTGATCTTCTTTGTTATATTAAAAATTTTTTGTTTTTTAAATTCATATACTTCTTTGAAAGGCAGAGCATTGGAGAGACACAGAGAGAGGGAGAAACAGAGAAGTAAAGAGATCCAACCACTGGTTCACTGCCTAAATGGCTGCACCAGCTGGGCCTGGCCCACGTTACCCAGAACTCCATCTAGCTCTCTCAGATGGGTAGCAGGAGTCCAAGCACTTGGGCTATCATCAGCTGTATTCCCAGACATCAGCAGGGAGCTGGAAGAGAAGTGAAGCTGCTGGGACTCAAACCAGCACTCTAATCTGGGATCTGGCACCCCAGGTGGCAGCTTAACCTGCTGTGCCCAGCCCCAGCTCTAAAAAGTTGATCAACTCACAATAACCGTAAACTATATTTGGGAGAGGGAAAAAAGGGAAACGAAAACTCCTTATTTTGAAATCCCTCTTTCTAATGATGAAAAAAGGTGTCTGTCACCTCACTCATCTCTTACCAGGGGTGCCTAAAAGATTATGATCTCTCATTAGCCGATAATCTTCATCATTGAGTTCATTAATAAACTGGTAATAGGCTTCTTCTCTGTGGAGACGCTCTTGCTGCCACCTTCTCTCATTCTCATGATGATCCTGGTCTTGAGATGAAGCCTCTTCACCACCACCATCCGATCTAGATCTAGACTGATTCATACTGAGCTGCCTGCTCAGACAACATATACAAAATCATGGTGTTAGTCATGCAATGCATAGAGCTTCATATTTTTAACCTATACTTTATTTTTACATTTTGTCCCTTACTCAAACACTTCACTTGCCAAATCTTGCAGTGAGAAACTGACATGCAAGATAAAAAAACACCCTCTAGGAGACAAAAACACAATTGGACCTACTTCTTTATCTAAAGCCATCATTTAAGTTAAACTGGATTTGGGTTCACCACATATTTCTCAAGCCTGAATACCAAAGGGATTCATTTTTCACTTCTTTGACTTAGTGGTAAGGCTGATCTAAAAGTCCTCATTCATGTTCAACATTAACATTTGAGGCTTGACTGATGCATGTTCTTTAAATAAACAAATCAGAGGCCATGACTTGCATTTATCTCCAGCAAGGTATTCTACCCCAGATGAGGCTCATTAATGAACTACTACCACCCCACCCTCCTCACTGCACTTTGTGAGGTGAAAATGATTCAGCCAACTATAATTACCAAACAAACTTGGAGTTGATCTCTCCTGAAAGCCTAACAGGAAGACTCTGAAAACCAACAGGAAGCGATACAGCACACGTGGCTCTGTCAATGGTGTAAGTGCAGGGAATACTTTGTGTTTCTTTGTACCAAGCCTCAGCCCTTGCCAGGAAAGGTAAGTACCGGGGGCTTCTGAGGGCCAGTGAGACTTCCTGATGCTGCCTAAGCAAACGGTATTTTTGCATTATATTTAAATGTCATTCCCAAGAGGCTTACTTCTAAACTGTAAAGAAATCAAGGAAGAAAATGGCTTCAGAAATATTTTAGAATTTCCAAAACACTTCTGTGTAGTAAGTCATTGACACAACAGTTATCAAACTTTTAAAACCCCAGATGCCCAGATCTTACCCTAATTCTTGGTTAGAATTTACCACGCTAGGGCCAAGATCTATGGTTAAGAACAAATCTGGTTATTCCATGGATGACATGAACTATCCTTGACAATTTGGGGTATGTCACCAAGGGGTAAGTGTGTGATACCGGACTCAATAAAGGCTGGAGGCTCAAATGGCCTATGCTACCAGTGAAGCAACTGTTGCAAGTCTGCCTCTCGTGTGTAATAAGCAAGCTGCTTTCAATGTAAAGTAGTCTAAACTGCTGTAGGAGTAAGCAAATTTCACCTGGATTCTAACAAATTACAAATTCAAGGCTTTAAAAAAAAAAACAAAACAGTGGATATGTCATTTTGAAAGATCCACTCAAATTCTCATTGCCACTACTAAAAACTCAAGATTCCTTTCTGGTCCTGATTATTCTGGAAATGGAATTAGCCAAAGAACATATGTGGCAGTTAAAGCAGTGAGCAATTTAAAAAACTGAAATTTAATATAGATTCAAGCTACCTAGTTTTTACTCAAAATTTGAGTTTCAACCTCAAAAATAGTTTTCTTGTACAATTACCCACAGTTAAATCAGTGAATACCTTAGTTTTCTCTCAACATGCTTTTAACATTTGCACTGCCATCCATCCGTCAATTGCGTGTGCCTTTTTTCAGGGCTGCCCATCTGAAGCAATAAGAGAGAGTTCCATTACTCAGTCTGTAGGCCAGAAACGGCTGCTAGTCTCCCAAGTCCGCTGCGAAACCACAGCCCAGCCTCCAGCGGACTCTGCTAAACACTCACCTAGACAAAAGAGCTCCGCACACACTCAGCCCCGAAAAGCTCCCGCAAGGCCCTCCCCTCAAACTGTCGCCACTCGGGATCAGGCCTCCTCGCTCGGGCCTCCTTCCCAGCCAGTTCCCCACTCGGATGTCGCCAGGGTGGGGTGTCTCGAGTTCACTTCTTCTAAACCTGCACTTCTTCGCCACCCCCGCCCTCCATCTGGCAACTGGTCCCTCTCCCTGGCCGTGGCGACGGGAACTGGCGCTGGGGAACAGCCCTTGGCACAATAAACAAACTAGGCTCGGCGGCCCAACCAACCTCTCTCCAACCGAGCCTCAAGTAACGCTTCCCTTAGCGACCTAAATTCCCACAGGGCAGCAGGTGACAGACGGTGCACCTGAACCAATCACCAGCTCGGCGAGCTCATTAACAGAGCAGTTAACCAATCAGAGAGTTGGTGGGTGGCGCCGAAAAAAGGCCTGCTTCCCTCCGCGTCTCCAGGAAGTAGTGGTAGGACTCCGAGCTGTCCCCCGTACCCACCTCGTTAGAAGTTGGGTAGCCCGCCTTCCACCCGGAGAACAAACTGCGGCAGGCTGCTCTCCTGTCTCGGGTGCCAGAGGCCGGGACTGGGAGGCGGAAGGGTACTTGTAGCCGTTGCTCCGGAGTCCACTGCGCCCCGAAATCGTCCTCTGAGCACAGAAGCCGGATGTTCGTGTGCTGCAGTTTGGGGTGGTCCCGCTGGTGGGGCGATTGTGGAGGAGGAACGGCCTTTCCTGCTGGACGGTCCTTTTCAACCTCTCACGGCCAGGCCGCCTCCGCGGCGGAGAGAGGCTCCGCTGCCGGCCGGGGACTCGCGGGTGCGACTGCAAAGTGCGTCCGGCGGGGGCCGGCGTGCTGCGTTCCTGCGTTCCGCCCTCTGGACGCCGCCGTCACAGAGCCTGCTCCCCGCGGTCCAAATACCGGGCGGCTGGGCGCTCTTGACAGCTGCGTGATTGCCAGCCGTCAGCCAGCTCTCCGCGCGGGAAGCACCTCATCTGCCTGCTCTGCGCTTGGGGGTCGCTTCTTTGCCGAGGCTGGCTAGCGAGGGCAACCCCGCCGCCTCGATCTCTCCACTGTCGGGAGCGGGGTAAGGTGCTAACCGAGCAGGCCCGCTGTCTTTCTCGCCCAGACCTGGAGATGGTAAACTACAGCAAATCATGAAGTGCATTGCGTGTGTGCCTTTTCACTTTCCCACTGGAAAATCAGTCTAAAACGCCAACATCCCTCTCTCTGCTTTTGTTTCTGAGCCGTGTTTCACTTCACCGTTCGTTAGCATCTTGACTAGGTTGCTGGCCAATCTGAAATCCGCCCCTTTTCCTGCCATCACCACCATCCTGGTGGCTTAATCCCTGGACAGTGCTCGCCCTGCTGGGCTTCGTCATTCCTCCGTGGGTTCTTTCACGACTGCACCAATTTTTGAGGAATTACTGTACATCCTCACCATTATGCTGGGCGCTTGAGCCACCAGTGGAGCAGGGTTATATGGACAGGTTTTTAAAAATCAGCATACTGTGTAAGTGTGTAAATAAAGCAGCCTGTACAAGGGCCTCCCAGATCTGTCCGCAGGACACCCGTACAGACTGATGGCCTGGCACTGCTGAGCTAGCTACCTGAAGCTCCTCTACAAGGCAACTCCTAAGCAACCCCCGGTCCCACTTTTTCCTAGTTTGCTCTATCTTCCAGGACGCAGATCTCGGCTTTTAAGACTCTTTCCTGACCCCTCTGAAATGACACTGTTACCTCACCTTCCAGCTCAATACTCACGCATGAAACTGGGCAGATAGCCTTTTGAGGGCTCCCAGTGAGGAAGGTTGACTTTTCAAGCTGCTTTCCTATTGAGAAGGTGGAAAACACACACGAATAGAAGCACTTTATAATTTATTAGCATTTGTAATTTCCAGGTCTCTGTGAGAAAGTAGGGTTAGTACTCTTATTTCCGGACAGTAAAGAGAGATCAAGATGGTTGAGTTACACTCAGTAGCAAGTTAGTTTAACGTATAACTGTATGTGACTATGTATTAGATGCTGGTGGTAACGACATTGAATCACACAAGCAGTAATGTCCTCATGAGACAAGGGCATTGCCCTGTTTTTCCATGGAAAAGGGCAGCCATTGAGCAAGTACTTAACAATGATTTTCTGTTCGGTTATAGGTCTCCCCACCTGGAGTCTGAACTCCTTAAGTGCAAACAAATGGTTTTATTCCTTCTTACCATCCCAGAATTTAGCACTGTACCTGGCAGAATGTTCTTCTCAGCCAACTGCATGGATTAGCAAAGAAAAATGGAATCTTTTTTGCAAACAGGGTTGATGCATGTTGTTATAACGACCTCAGATATTCTAAGCAAAAATCCGAGAAAACTGCACATGAGCTATCCAAAAATTCAGGTAGAAACTATTTTACATATCTATACAGTTTTAGAGAAGGCAATAGTCCCATCAAGTGCAAGTAAACGTTAACTGGGAAAGACAAAAACCATAAGACTCAAAAAACATAAAATCCAATCAAGTAATTTACACAGTGGGAAAGCTTTTGTGAATAAGGAGACAGAAAATGTATGTAACTCTACACCTTGCTTCAGTCTTGTAGTTGAAGACAAAATGACTCATGGGAACTAGATGTGGTAGTTGGAACCAAGAGATGAGTTAATCATTTTATGCCTTTCAGGTTCTATGCAGCAGATGAAATTTCTGGTCTAATGAACCCTGATTGATTGTATTGATACCTGGCTTTTTTAGTGTGCACTAGCATGTGTCTTTGGACTCCAGGACACTTTTACAACTGGAGGGGAAAAAGCATAAAAGAATTGAAACCTCAACATTAAAATGATGCTCTGTGGCTGGCGCTGTGGCGCAGTAGGTTAACTCTCCGCCTGCAGCACCGGCATCCCACACAGGTGCCAGTTCCAGTCCTCGCTGCTCCTCTTCCAATCCAGCTCTCTGCTGTGGCCTGGGAAAGCAGTAGAAGATGGCCCACGTCCTCGGGCCCCTGCACCCGCCTGGGAGACCCGGAAGAAGCTCCTGGCTCCTGGCTTCGGATTGGCACAGCTGTCCCCACTGTGGCCATTTAAGAGACTGAACCAGTGGAAGGAAGACCTTTCTCTATGTCTCTCCCTCTCACTGTCTGTAACTCTACCTCTCAAATAAATAAATAAATAAATATATTTTTTAAAAAGTTGCTCTGTATAGTTGGTGATAGTATTTGTCATGTTTAAGAGATACTGTTTTCATAGAATGACAGCCTTAATTACAATTTAAAATGCAAAATCATGCAGTTGATTTAGGCTTTTTAAAAAAGATTTATTTATTTGAAAATCAGAGTTACACAGAGAGAGGAGAGGCAGAGAGAGAGAGAAAGAGAGGTCTTCCATCTGATGGTTCACTCCCCAATTGCCTGCAACAGCCAGAGCTGCGCCGATCCAAAGCCAGAAGCCAGGAGCTTCTTCCAGGTCTCCCACATGGGTGCAGGGGCCCAAGGACTTGGTCCATCTTCTACTGCTTTCCCAGGCCATAGCAGAGAGCTGGATTGAAAGTCGAGTAGCTGGGTCTCAAACCGGCGCCCATATGGGATGATGGCTCTTCAGGCCTGAGTGTTAACCTGCTGCACCACAGTGCCGGCCCCAGATTTAGACTTCTAAGATTGAATTGGAATCTTACTAAATTTGTGGATAGTATCAAAACATCTAAGAAAAATTTAGGCTTGTCAGATTAAGTTCTCTAATCTTAAAATTACTATTTAAGGATTTAAGAAGAAACTAAATTCAACATCTTACAAATGAGATAAAATATTGAATTTATAAATACCATTAAAATGCTTGTTTTTAGTTGATGAATCAAATAAGTGTGGAATAAAATTTAAAATTGGTAAAAGGCTAATTCCAAAAGACTGTTAAAGTTTACTACAATTAGTATGAGTTTAATAAGACCTGTAAGTTAAATTTAAAAGGCTGAGATAAAATAAGGAAGTAACAATTAGAATATTAACTGTTGAATGCGAGGATTTTTTAAAAATATATTTATTTCCTCCAATTTTTTTTTAGAAAACTGTACTGAGGCATAATTCAAATGCCATTAAATTCACTTTTTAAAATATATAATCCAATGGATTTTAGTGTATTCACAGAGTTGTACTGCCTTCACCACAATCTGATTTTTGAACATTTTCATCACCCCAAAAAGAAACCTCCATCCATTAGCAGTAGTTCCCATTCCTTCCCACTCCACCTCACCCCCAGCCTCTGATAATTGCTGATTTCCTTTCTCTGGCTATGAAATTATACACTATGTGGTCTTTTCTGTCTGCTCCTTCGACTTAGCACAAGGCTCATTATGCTGTAGCATGTCTCGGTACATTCCTCAAGAGAAATATTCCTTTTCCATATTAAAAAAAAAAAAACCACCCTCAAGAACATTCCTGATAGCCAGGGTCTTAATTAGGCCATAGACTGAATGGGGTCAAATTGTCCAAACAAGAATAAGACAAGGATTCTTGTTCCAGTGTTTTATTAGGAAAGTGCTCTCTGGAGAAGGTGCGTGAGGGAGCAGGATTGGCCAGGAAGAGAGGAAAGTAAGAGTGGGCTTCTGCTGATCCCACACAATTCACCATCAACTGTTGGCCAAGAAGACCAGCTTTGTGTACATCGTATCCCTCCATCATCAAGTGAAATCTGCAGGGCAGGAGGGCAGTTGATCCTTATGGGTGAGATGGCTCCTATTTTAGCCAAGGGAAATTCTCTAGAAGGGGAGGCATCTGGAACTGTTGTCCAACACTCACAGTAGCTGGAGTATAGATGCACAAGCTTAAAAAGTGGATTGAGACAGGCACAAAAGCACACATCAGAGAATACTCTTCATATTGCTTAGATCACTTGCTTCTCACATTGTTTGCTCTGAACAATTTCTCCAGAATTCTTTTTTCCCCCTTCTTTTAAAAAATGTTTGATAGGGGCCAGAATTGGGGCATAGTGGATTAAGCTGCCCCTGAAATACTGGCACCCCATTTCAGGGCTGGTTCCAGTACTGGCCATTCCACTTCCAATATAGCTCCCTTCTAATGCATCTGGGAAAGCAGTAGAAGATGATCCAGGTGCCTGGGCCTCTACCACCCATGTAGAAGACCTGGGTGGAGTTCCAGATTCCTGGCTTCAGCCATTGTGGCCATTTAGGGAGTGAAAGAGCATGTGGAAGATTCCCTCTCTCTTCTCTCCATGTCTCTCCCTCTTTTTTTTTTCTTTTTCTTTCTTTCTTTCTTTTTTTTTTTTTTCGTGAGACAGAGTGGACAGTGAGAGAGAGAGAGAGAGAGAAAGGTCTTCCTTTTTCCATTGGTTTACCCCACAGTGGCCGCTGCGGCCGGCATGCTGCGGCCGGCGCACCGCGTTGATCCGAAGCCAGGAGCCAGGTGCTTCTCCTGGTCTCCCCTGTGGGTGCAGGGCCCAAGGACCTGGGCCATTCTCCACTGTACTCCCAGGCCACAGCAGAGAGCTGGACTGGAAGAGGAGCAACCTGGACAGAACCGGCGCCCCAACCGGGACTAGAACCGGGGGAGCCAGCACCGCAGGCAGAGGATTAGCCTAGTGAGCCGTGGCACCGGATCCCTCTTTCTAATATTGCCTTTCTAATAAATAAATCTTTTTTTAAAAAAAGTTTGATCGACATGTAATACTTGTATCTTTTTTTTTTTTTTTTTTTTTTCATTTCGACAGGCAGAGTGGACAGTGAGAGAGAGAGACAGAGAGAGAAAGATCTTCCTTTGCCGCTGGTTCACCCTCCAATGGCCGCCGCTGCAGCCGGCGCACCGCGCTGATCCTGGCAGGAGCCAGGAGCCAGGTGCTTTTCCTGGTCTCCCATGGGGTGCAGGGCCCAAGCACCTGGGCCATCCTCCACTGCACTCCCTGGCCATAGCAGAGAGCTGGCCTGGAAGAGGGGCAACCGGGACAGAATCCGGCGCCCCAACCGGGACTAGAACCCGGTGTGCCGGCGCCGCAAGGTGGAGGATTAGCCTATTGAGCCACGGCGCCGGCTCCTTGTATCTTTTTTTTAAAGATTTATTTTATTTATTTGAAAGACAGAGTTACAGAGAGAGGTAGAGACACAGAGAGAGGTCTTCCATCCGCTGGTTCACTCCCCAGATGGCTGCAACAGCTGGAGCTGCGCCGATCTGAAGCCAGGAGACAGGAGCTTCTTCCAGGTCTCCCACATGGGTGCAGGGCCCAAGCAATTGGGCCATCTTCTACTGCTTTCCCATCCCATAGCAGAGAGCTGGATTGGAAGAGGAGCAGCCAGGACTAGAACCGGTGCCCATATGGGATGCTGGTGCTTCAGGCCAGAGCATTAACCCGCTGCGCCACAGTGCCGGCTCCGTATCTTTTTATGGAATACATTGCAATATTTCAACAGATGTCTACAGTTTAAACAGATCAAATTGGGTAATTAGCATTTCTATTTCCTCTTTTTTTTTTAGGTTTGAAGCCTATGAATTTCTCTCTGTAGTTCTTCATATGGCATATAATACATTAATTGTGTCCAGAATTTTTTTATTTTTTTGGACAGGCAGAGTTAGACAGTGAGAGAGACAGAGAGAAAGGTCTTCCTTTTCCGTTGGTTCACCCTCCAAGTGGCCGCTATGGCCGGCATGTTGCAGCCGGTGCGCTGCACCATTCTGAAGCCAGGAACCAGGTGCTTCCTCCTGGTCTCCCACACGGGTGCAGGGCCCAAGGACCTGGCCTATCCTCCACTGCACTCCCGGGCCACAGCAGAGAGCTGGACTGGAAGAGGAGCAACCAGGACAGAACTGGCACCCTAACCGGGACTAGAACCCAGGGTACCAGCGCCACAGGCGGAAGATTAGCCTAGTGAGCCGCGGTGCCGGCCCAGAATTCTTAATAAAAGATTTATTTTTTACTTATTCATTTGAAAGACAGAGAGAGAAAGAGAGAGAGAGAGAGAGAGAGAGAGAGAGATCTTCTATCCGTTGGTTCACTCCCCAAATGGCTGCAACAGCCAAGGCTGGGCCAGATCTAAGCCAGGAGCCAGGAACTTCTTCTGGGTCTCCCATGTGGGTTCAGGGGCCCAAGCACTTGGACCATCTTCCACTGCTTTTCTGGGGAGCTGGATAGAAAGTGGAGCAGCCAGGACCTGAACTGGTACCCATAAAGGATGCTGGTACTTTAGGCAAAGGTTTAATCTATGCCACAGTGCTGGGCCCCAGAATTCTTATTAGTCACAATTTTGTATACATTTTTGCAAGAGGACAATGGAACCAACTACAATCTCTGCTTCTATAGCTGACTCCAAGGCCGTAACTGATGCTCACTGTCTCCATCATCCACCCCCCCCCCTTTTATATTCCCTACCACCTCAGCGAGCACTCCTGCTGGCGTAGGTAGCCTGATTGATGGATTGAACCAGAAACTCATCTGTAAGAGGTTTAAGACCCCAGTTATCATGCTCTTATCAGGCTGTGGTTTCGGTACTTGGCCATTTGCAATTATGACTAGGCTTGGAAATACCAAGAAATGTCCCTAGTGGATCTCCTGAGTAACCACTATAGTCTTGTCTGTTCTCTTCTGTATCAGCCGTGTCCACCTCCTGATGATTGCTTGCATTAGGAGCCCCAGTGACCTTAGAGCAGCCCTTGTGTTAAGTTTAGGGAGCTCTTACTGTGTCCTCTGATGGAAAGATCCCACCTCTGAGTAGCAGAACCTCTATCCTAGTAGAGTCTCCAGTTACAGGGACAAGAAACACAAATTCTTCAAATGGGTCTCTGGGAGTAATGCTGAGTGGGCCACTCACTTTTGCCTCATCTGTGGATTCATGTTGTCTATCTACTGGAGACACAGTACCATAAAAAGGTACTTTAATAAGTTTATGGAAAATGTTTATTATGGGAAAGCTATGCATGGATTCAATGTTAGTGCACCAAAATAAATTCATCTTTTAATCTCATTTTCCTCATATAACTTCATACATCCTTATCTAACAGCCACTGGTTTAAGGAGTATATTGCATCCTAAAGGCTATCCTAAAGGATAATGTTCCAAACACATTATTCCAATGTGGAGTCTTAGCTGTGCTTTCAACAAGCCATTGCTCCGCTCCATCAAGTTGATAACTTCCAAATGGTGTGGTACCTAGTGTGACCAATGGGTCCTCTGGACAAGTGCCACCCCCATATCTTCTTGCTGTAAAGTGAGTTCCTTGGTCTGAAGCAGTGTTATGTGAAAGTGGTGTCAGAATATTAGTTGTTCTCTGAGTCGTTGCATGTTGGTGATGGCTGAAGCACATGAGGCAGGAAGGCAAGCTAATACTCAGAACATATACACACCAAAACCAGTCACCGAGACCCTGAGCTCCCAATCCAGCTTCCTGCTAATGTGCCTGAGAGGCAGTAGATAATGGCCCAAGAACTTCAGTCTCTACCACCCACATGGAAGACCTGGATTGAGTTCCTGGCTTCTGGCTTCAGCCTTGGCTGTTGTAGGCTTTTGGGATATGAACTAACAGGTATAAGATTTCTCTCTGTCTGTCTGTCTGTCTCTCTCCTTTCAAATAAATAAATCAAACAAAAGAAAGGTCATGATAAAATGTTATTCTTTTCAAATTGGAAAGGGCCCAGTGCAATCCAGTGACTGTTTGACCTCCCTGAGAGCTCAGTGTTGTCTTTGCTGCTGACAGGTCAGACATTCAATAGCAGCTGTAGCTAGATCAGCTTTGGAGAGAGTCCAAAAAGTTAGGCCCATTCATAGTCTCCATTTCTGCCACCACAGCTATCCCACCCATAAGTCCATTGTGAAAGAACTTTGGTGCCATAGACATAAGCAGCCTGATGTTTGCTGGCCTAGTCATCCTATATACTTGGTTGGTTAATGACTCTTCTGCTGTGGAAACTCTCTGATGAGCAATATGTGTTATGAAAAGTCATTCCAATATGTGCACTTCCCCTAGAGGTCTATCCATCTGCCCATTTTACAGCCTTTTCCTACATTTCTTTTTTTTTAAAGATTTATTTACTTATTTGAGAGTTACAGACAGAGGAAAGGAGAGAGAGAGAGAGAGAGATGTCTTCTATCTGCTGTTTCACTCCATGAATGGCTTCATGGCCAAAACTGGGTTGATCCAAAGCCAGGAGCCAAGAGCTTCTTCCTGGTCTCCTACATGGGTACAAGGGCCCAAGGATTTGGGCCATCTTCTGCTGCTTTCCCAGATGATTAGCATGGAGCTAGATCAGAAGCAGATCAGCCGGGGCTCAAGCAGGCGCCCATATGGGATGCCAACCCCACAGGTGGAGGCTTAACCTACCATGTCACAGTGCCAGCCCTCCTATATTTCTTGATCTAGATACCTGACCAACAAAGAAGGCTAGCATTTGTCACTTCCCATGAGTATACCCTCACCCTAGCCATTTCTGTCTTCAAAATCAATGACTAAAGGACTTCCTGAAGCTCTGCCTACTGGGAAAATGTCCCTTCTCCAATCTCATCACTGCCATCACCCCTGGGATTGGGTTCAAAAGTGCAGCTATAGACATTTTCAGTTCACAGCCATAACAAAGTGACCCATCTATTAACTAAACTTGGATTATTTTTTCTTCTTTTTCTTTTTTTTAAAGATTTATTTTATTTATTTGAAAGTCAGAGTTACAGAGAGAAGTAGAGATAGAGAGATGTCTTCCATCTGCTGGTTCACTCCCCAGATGGCTGCAACAGCTGGAGCTGCGACGATCTGAAGCCAGGAGCCAGGAGCCAGGATCTTCTTCTAGGTCTCCCACATGGGTGCAGGGTCCCAAGGACTTGGGCCATCTTCCACTGCTATCCCAGGCCATAGCAGAGAGTTGGATTGAAGAGAAGCAGCCAGGACTAGAACGGGCACCCTTATGGAATGCTGGTGCTTCAGGCCAGGGCGTTAATCTGCTGAGCCACAGCACCAGCCCCATTTTTTCTTCTTTTTCAACAGGTAATGAGGAACGTCCCTGTGGCCATACTTGGCAGTTGAGGGAGATGCATTGGTACAACAGTGATAGGTGACATGAGGGTCAAAGCCACCTGTTCCTTCAGCCCTCCTATGCTCTCTGGGCCTGCTGGAGCCTAATTTTTGGCATATTGTCCCTCACAGTGGACTGTTGTTGCACCTGCCTGATCTTATGACACAATAAGGCAGCAGAACCCAACTTATGATCACCTGGTTTCTATGACACATGGCTTGATACTCAGTTTCTACCAGGGCTGAGTATCATGACAGGAACTCTTTTTCAAATGGTGTATAGTTTCCTTCAGCAGGTGGAATGGCCTTACTCCAGAACCCTGCCTATTGGAGCTTGCCAGAAGCACGATGTGGCATCTTTCTCTAGTACCATGAGATCTGCAGACTCACATGGCTTAAGTGGCAGGGCTGCTTGTACCACAGGATCTAATTACTATAGAGTCCTTTTTTCCCTGGCCCTCATTTAAAGCCTGCAGCTTTCCAAGTCACCTGATAAATGTATTGCCAAGGACATTGAATATGCTGCCCCTAAAACCCAAGAGGCATACCCAGCGGTCTGATTTTTTTCTTAGTGGTAGGGATGTGTGGTGCAAGAACTTGTCTTATACTTCGGAGGGGATGTTTCAACACATACCAGGCCACCAAACTCCTAAGAAATTCACTGATATATGTCAGACCCTTGAACCTTCATAAGCTTTATCTCCCACCTCCTGGAGATTTATCTTACCAAGGCATGCAGAGTACTTACCACTTCTTGATCGTAAGATCTAATTAACATGGCAGACCAGCACACTGTTCATCTGGATGTCCAGGTTACACAAGATCCTTTGGACTATGTTGTGATGCAGAGCAGAATAGTTAAAATTGCCCTGGGGTTAGGGTATACCATGTCCATGCCTTGTGAATGCAAATAGCTCTGATATTCCTTCCTGGTGAATATAGAAAACCAATAGCATCATACACGTACCATGACTGTTCTATTATGTTCTAGTAAAGACACCAAATGTAATGCAGCAGCTTTAATGAGGCCAATATTTGGTTAAGTTCATGGTAATCTTCTTCTGACATCAGCATGATCCACCCAGTTTTTGCTGAAGTCAGATTGGTGAATTAAGTAGGGTTATGTAGGAATTCCAGACCTGCATTCTGTGTCTTTGATTATGGTGCTAATCTCTGCCATTCTCCTGGACTATTATAAAGTTTTTATTGTCTGTCTTGGTGGGAGAGGTGCAATTTCTTTTCTTTAAGATTTGTTTATTCATTTGAAAGGCAGTTACAGGATGAGGGAAAGAGAAAGAAGGAGAGAGAGGAAAATATTGATTTAGATCTTCCATCTGCTGGTTCACTCCTCAAATAGCCACAACAGGGCTAAACAAGGCCAAAGCCAGGAGCCAAAAATTCCTTCCAGGTGAGTCTGGCGTTTACATGTGTTGCTAGCATTGCAGGCAGTGGTGCTACAATGCTGGCCCCAAGAAGGGAAGTGGTGAAGACTTCTCTTTTTTTTTTTTTTTGACAGGCAGAATGGACAGTGAGAGAGGGAGACAGAGAGAAAGGTCTTCCTTTTGCTGTTGGTTCACCCGCCATAGGCCGCCGCACCGCACTGATCCGATGGCAGGAGCCAGGTGCTTCTCCTGGTCTCCCATGGGGTGCAGGGCCCAAGGACTTGGGCCATCCTCCACTGCACTCCCTGGCCACAGCAGAGAGCTGGCCTGGAAGAGGGGCAACCGGGAAAGAATCCAGCGCCCCAACCGGGACTAGAACCCGGTGTGCCGGCGCTGCAAGGCGGAGGATTAGCCTAGTGAGCTGCAGCGCCGGCCACGAAGACTTCTATTTGGAGTTTCCTACAAAGCTCTTGCTCCATAGTTCAAGGAACCAACACGAGGATCCTTTCAACTACTCAATATTTCTATTCTCCATAAAGGTAACCACTGGTTGGGTTCATGGACTCAGTGAATCTGCTTTGCTTTAGGTGGACCTGCTGGGCCAGAAAATCAGTTATTACCTGACTCTCATTTGGTTATTCATCATAAGAATGCAATTTCTCTATCAGTAAGTTGGTTTTGAGTCTGGGAAATGACTCAGATCTGAAAACTGGAAGGAGATTATGTCTTTCCATTTGGGTGCCTGACCTCAGCCTTCTGCTAATTCATGATTCATTATGAATTCTATTTATATACATTTAGAACCATTCTTTTGGCTGCTCATCTGTCTTGTTCCTAGGAGCACCCTATTTTGTTACTTCTCCCCATAGGTCTCCAAAGTTTGGTCCCCTTGGCTGATATTCTGATTTGATTGGCCATTACAATAATTAAGTGTTAAATCCTTCTGATGGACTAGGTGCTGTCACCTGGCCTCTGCTATTCTCGTGTACTCCAATCCCTTTTGCTACCAGGAAGCCTAGTTCTCTAACAGCATCTCTTATTATCAGCCTCCATTACAGAAAACAACTTCTCATTGATGCTGATACCCCTTTCACCTGTGCTTTTCTCACTTCCTCAGTTTCCTTGGAACCTCTTGAGGAAAGTAACCCTTGGTGGACTGTCTGGTCTAACATGGCAGAGCCATTCTCACATGTCTATTTGCATGAGTCTTTTGATCCCTTCCTCCACATCCTGCGATGGCAATTCTGGCCTCTCTACTTCATTTAATGCATGCCATTGATTTTTCCAAGATTCTGAAAGCTGGCTTGCAGCATATTAGAAATATCCCCGAGATACTCTCTGTGGAATTAAATACTACACCATGGGAGCAAAGTCTCATACCAATGAGTTCTCCCTTACTCAGCTTTATATTCTACTAGCTTTAGTCTAACACCTTCTTGATTGCCTCCCAGACATTCTATTTGGCTTTTCTGGTACAAATTATCCAGGTACAATAACATTTTGGCTTGTAATCCCTTTTCAGTCTTAACAAAGCAAGCACTATCTCAACTGAAACAAGGGGAAATGGAACCCCAGTTTTGGTCTACTGTCCAAAAGAAGGAGAAGGGAGGAGAGAAAACAGTCTTAAAAGGTCTTCTTTATTGGTGATTCCTGCTTCGGACAGGAAGGAGGGCATTATCTTCTAACAAGAAGGGGGAGTGGCCGGCGCTGTGGTGCAATGGGTTAAAGCCCTGGCACGAGGCACCGGCATCCCATATGGGCACCGGTCCTAGTCCCGGCTGCTCCTATTGCAATCCAGCTTTCTGCTGTGGCCTGGGATAGCAGTGGAAGATGGCCCAAGTCCTTGGGACCCTGCACCCACATGGGGGACCCGGAAGAAGCTCCTGGCTCCTGGCTTCCGATCGGCACAGCTCCAGCCATTGCGGCCATCTGGGGAGTGAACCAGCAGATGGAAGACCTCTCTCTCTGTCTCTACCTCTCTCTCTAACTCTGTCTTTCAAATAAATGAAACAAATCTTAAAAAAAAAAAAAAAAGAGTGGATCACTTCTGCAGGTGTATTGGTCAGAGCAATATTGGATCCAAATGCTGTATTTACCCAGCAATGGTATATGTTCAGGGTCCCTCTATTTCCCTACAGGGCTTGGCCATTAGCCTGGGAGATCTGCCTTGACTGAGCATAAAAGCCATTACTGTGGTTCTTTGTTGTAGTTCAAGTTTCACGTGTGCCTGCTCTTCAGCTTGGTCTGTCTTCCAGCTGCAGGTGAGGTGCTGACAAATGTGCCCACAGACTCTCACAATCCACTTTCCATTTTTTATTAACTGACCTGAACCTGTCATTATCTCTCTTCAGTGTATCAGTAATATCCAGCACCTATCCAAGTCTTCAGTCCCCTCAATGATAACTCCCCAATGTCTCTCGAACACCAGTCACCAACTCACCACAGATGAAGGGCTGCTTCCATATTCCACTGAGTCCTTATGGCCAGTTGTCTAGTGGATGACCCACCCCACATATCTGGAGATCTACATATCTGTAGATATCTAGGTACCAACTATCTTAAGAGTTTACAATGAAAGCATATTCATTCTACTAAGAGAATCGACAGGGATGAACAACTTCATGTGAAACTCAATGTCAATGGAAAAGGGAGTAAACATTTATGAGGTTCCACTATGTTCCAGACACTATGTGGGCTGTTTCAGAGCAGCCAGTGGGGCATAGAATGCAACACAAGAGGATGAATGGAATGGGCATAGAGCAGAGGGTGAGTGGGAGGACAAATGACTTCTGGGTAAGAAACTTACATGTGCCTTGCTGAAATGACCTCTTTAAATATGAAAGACTTCATATCTGAAAGAGATCACAATGAACTGGGATGAGAATGGGAAAACTGGAGATAAGAACATAAAGCTAGAAATACAGGCCTGGGAGACTCAAGAGGGAAAAAAAACTCAAGGCATGAAATTATCATGCAATTTAGAAAACCAGGTCTGTAAATACATGGCTTTCATTGGCATCATTTTTTATGAATGCTTATTGCTTATATCAAGAGACATCATAAGCTTTAAAGGCACTAAGCTGGACTAGTTAAAACTCTTCCAGGGAAGTACTATTATTATTATTATTATTACTATTATTATGTACAACTTGCTGAACATCTACTGTATACCAAAACCTCCACTGAACTCTGTAAATAGGATTTCTCTAGCCTTCCCAGCAACCCTGCCATCTGGGCACTATGCCTGCTTAACAAGAAAATAAAGCCAAGTAAGTTTTTGTAGCTTGCACAGAATCCCACAAATTTCAAGGGGAAAAGCTGCTGCATTGCTGAATGTTTGTTTTCAGGATGAAATGGTTTAAAAAATAAAGCTCTTTAAATATGCACATTAGAATCACTTGAGGACTTTAGAAATCCCAATGTCAGTTGGAATTGAACTGGTTTTAACTGAACCAGTTCAATCAAATAGGGATTGCTGGTTTCAGACCTTACTGTTAAGTCTTTAATCCACTTCTAGTCAATTTCTGTGCATGATGAAAGAATCCAATTTCATTCTTTTGCATGTGATTATGCAGTTTCCTCAACACTACTTATTGAAGACTTCCTTTTCCTAACTCTATTCTTTGTGCTCTGTCAAAGATTATTTGACCGCATATGTGTGGCTTTATTTCTCAGCTCTCTATTCTGTTGCAATAGTTTATCTGTGTTTTTATGCTAGCACCATACTGTTTTGATTATCATAGCTTTGTAAAATTGATGGAAATTGGGGAGTTTGACACTATCATTTTTGGGTTTTTTATTAAGATTTCTGTGGCTATTTGGGATCTTTTGTGATTCCATATGAATTTTAGGCTTTCATAAAAGAATTATTTATTTATTTATTTATTTACTTAAAAGGCAGAGGTGACAGAGAGAGAGAGAGTGAGACATTGACAGAGACAGAGGTCTTCCATCTACGGTTCACTCTCCAAATGGCCCCAGGCTAGGCCAGATTGAAGCCAGGAGCTAGAAACATGGGTGGCAGGCACCCATGTACTTGGGCCATCATCTACTGCCTTCCTAGGCACATTATGAGGAAGCTGGATCAGAAGCAGAGTAGCTAGGATTTGAACTGGTGCTCTGGTATAGGATGCTGGCATCACAAGTGGCAGCTCAATCCACTGTGCCACAAATGCCAGCCCAAGATTGTTTATTATTTGTGAAAAATATCATTGGAATTTTGGTAGAGATTGCATCAAATCTGAATATTGCTTTGAGTAGTATGGACATTTAAACAATATTAATTCTTCTAATCCATAGAAAGCTATCCCGTGTATTTTCTTCAATTTCTTTCATTAATGTTTTATGGTTTTCAGTGTACAAGTCTTTTACCTCCTTGATTAAATTTATTTCTAATTGTTTTATTCTTTTAGATATAACTGTAAAAGGGATTACTTTCCTAACTTCTTTTTTGGATAGTTCATTGCTAGCATATAAAAACACAGCTAATATTTGCATGTTGATTTTGTAAGGTCTGAAACTGTAGAACTCCCAGAAGAAAAAATAGGGAGAAACCTCCTTGATGTTGGTCTTGGTAATAATTTTTCAGATGTGAGCCAAAAACATAGCCAATGAAGGAAAAATAGAGAAATGACAAGTCAAACAGGCATTTTTCCAAAGAAGATATATAAAAAGATGCTCAACATCATCAGTCCTCAGAGAAATGGAAATGAAAATCATGAGATATCACCTCACACCTGTTAGGGTACCTATTATCAAAAAGACAAAAGATAACAAATGTTGGTGAAGGTGTGGTGAAAAAGGAACACTTGAACACTGTTGGTATGAATGTAAATTGGTATATCTATAATGGAAAAATAATATAGAGATTCCTCAAAAAGTAAAAATAGAACTACCATATGAGCCAGCATGTATAAGTGTCTCAAAAAATATCTACTTCCCATGTTCATGTTCAAAAGCCACAATATGGAAAGAGCTTGATGGATGAACAGACTAAAAAAAAGTTTGTGGAAAAAATGAAATTAAAAGACTAAGTTCATTTCAGTGCAAAACATTTTTTTTTAATTTTTTTTTATTTTTGACAGGCAGAGTGGACAGTGAGAGAGAGAGACAGAGAGAAAGGTCTTCCTTTTGCCGTTGGTTCACCCTCCAATGGCCGCCGCGGCCGGCGCACCGCGCTAATCCGAAGGCAGGAGCCAGGTGCTTATCCTGGTCTCCCATGGGGTGCAGGGCCCAAGCACCTGGGCCATCCTCCACTGCACTCCCTGGCCACAGCAGAGAGCTGGCCTGGAAGAGGGGCAACCGGGACAGAATCCGGCGCCCCGACCGGGACTAGAACCCGTGTGCCGGCGCCGCTAGGCGGAGGATTAGCCTAGTGAGCCGCGGCGCCGGCCATCAGTGCAAAACATTTTTGAAATCCATGCATAGTTTTTGCAGAATGTAAATTTCCATGAACTTTTTGAAGTATACACACACACACACATACACACACTGGAATATTATTCAGTCATTAAAAGGAAGTTTCACCCTTCGTGACAACACAGATGAAGCTGGAGGACATTCAAAAAGTTTGTGGAAAGTGGAATTAAAAGACAATTTTATTGGGCCAGCAGTGCGGCATAGTAGGTTAAGCCACCACTGCAACACTGGCATCCCATATGGGTGCTGGTTCAAGACCAGGCTGCTTCACTTCTAATCCAGCTCTTCCAATCCAGCTCTGTGCTTAAGGCGTGGGAAAGCAGTGGAAGATGGCCCAAGTGCTTGGGCCCAGAACCTTCATGGGAGACCCAGAGAAAACTCCTGGCTCCTGGCTTTAGATTGGCTCAGCTTTAGCTGAAGTGGCGATTTTGGGGAGTGAACCAGCGAGTGGAAGACTTTTCTCTCTGTCTCTCCCTCTTTCTGTCTGTAACTCTGCCTCTCAAATAAATACATATAATCTTTTTCAAAATCAGGAAAAAAATTAAATTCATGCATTTGAAGGTTCCCGAAAATCTCATGGAAAATGTGTATTATGAAAAATTATGCATGGATTTCAAAATTTTTTTGCCGCTAAATAAATGTGACTTTTAATTCCTTGTTCTGTGAACTTTTTAAAGTACCCTCATATTAAGTGAAATAAACCAGGCACAGATAAATACTATATGAGCTCACATATATGTGGAATCTAGAAACATCCAGTTCACAGAAACAGAGAATAGATCAGTGGTTGCCAGGGGCTGTGGGTAAGGGTAGGGAAAATAGGAAGATGTTGATCAAAGGGTACAAACTTTCAGTTATAAGAAGAACAAGTCCTGAAGCTCTGCAGTACAGTACTGATGTGAGGAATGTGTTATTAAGTTGATTGTAGTGATCACAGTACAATGTGTACATACATCAAGTCAACACTATACACCTTGAATGTTTACAATCTTTGTCAATAAAATATTTTTAAAATTAAGAAGTAGGAGGCAAAAGAATGGCTGGGTTGATTCCTCAGATAATTCAAACGGACAGCCAAAGTTGATAAGCGTTTCCTTGAACAGGAGGCAGTTTATGCGAAACTGGCTAGACACCACATTGGAGATAACAGAAGAGCTCTGATTGTGGAAAACTTAGTCATGTGGAAGTAATTATTTTAATCTAATTCTAACATTTCTATTGCAAGCTGCCCTCAAAGTATTTTCATACCTCAGACTGAAGTAAATCCAGGATGGAGAATATTAGATGCAGGAGTTTGAGCTTTATGCTGTAGGCAATAGACGATCATGTAGAGTCGTTGAATGTTTCTGAGCAGAGGAATGATGGAAACAAAACAGCATTTTAATAATTAAACAGGATGTAGGCTGTCAAAGCAAGAAGGACAATATCTGATGGAACTTGACCTTGGTGTGTGGGGGTGGAGGGAGGGCTACTAAGAAAGAAAGGGTTCAAGAGGTTCTGAGCATGGGATTACATGGAAAGAAATAGCCCCAGGTGTCAAGTATCAGGTGGTTGCAGGGGTGACCTGAAGTGTTTGTGTGCAATAGAAAGGGAGCTACGTGGCTCACGGGAGCGATCCACATTTGTGCTGGAACCAGCCAGAAAAGACGTGGCTTTCCTGGTATTTGGGCCTGAGTAATATAGTCCAGCTAAACAGGAGGTGAAACTTATTAGAACAGGAGGTCAGAGAAGCCATGAGAAACTGAACCTGAACCTGAACTGTGTTCCTATCAATGACTTTTATACTCTCATGTAGGAAAATATGTTTTGAACTAAAAAATAGAAAGCCAATGCATCTATACAAAAAGGTGTCCACCGAAGGGAAAAAAGAACAAGATTACAGTACCGAATATCAATATAAGAAGGTAAATTCTCAGGGTGGGCACTGTGATACAGCAGGTCAAATCTGCAGTTGTGACGGGGGGAACTGGTTTGAGAGCCGGCTACTCCTCTTCCAATTCAGCTCTCTGCTAATGTGCCTGGGAAAGCAGCAGAGGATGGCCCATGTGCTTGGGTTCCTTCACCTATGTGGGAGACCTGAAATGGAATTCCTGGCTGTTAGTTTCAGCCTGGCCAAGCTCTGGCTGTGACAGCCTTTTGGGGAGTGAACCAGTGGATGAAAGATCCATTGATCAATGGATCAATCTATCTCTTTTTCTCCATTTCTTTAATTTTTTAAAAATTTATTTTATTTGAAAGGCAGAGTTACAGAGACAGGGAGAGACAAAGAGAGAGAGAGAGAGATCTTCCATCCACTGGTTCACTCTCCGAATGGCTGCAATGACTGGGACTGGATTGGTCCCAAGCCAGGAGCCAGGAGTTTCTTCTGGGTCTCCCACATGGGTGCAAGGACTCAAGCACTTGGCCCATCCTCTGCTGCTTTCCCAGGCACATTATCAGGAAACTTGGTGGGAAGTGGAGCAGTGAGGACTTGGACTGGCTCCCATATGGGATGCTGACACTACAGGCAGCATGCTTTACCTGCTACACCACAGCTCTGGCCCCTTTGTCTATGTTTCTTCCTCTCTGATGTACTGCCTTGTAAATAAATAAATAAATAGCAGGCACTGCAGCTCAATAGGCTAATCCTCCGCCTAGCGGCGCCGGCACACCGGGTTCTAGTCCGGTCGGTTGGGGCGCCGGATTCTGTCCCGGTTGCCCCTCTTCCAGGCCAGCTCTCTGCTGTGGCCAGGGAGTGCAGTGGAGGATGGCCCAAGTGCTTGGGCCCTGCACCCCATGGGAGACCAGGATAAGCACCTGGCTCCTGCCTTCGGATTAGCGCGGTGCGCCGGCCGCAGCAGCCATTGGAGGGTGAACCAACGGCAAAAGGAAGACCTTTGTCTCTGTCTCTCTCTCTCTCTCTCACTGTCCACTCTGCCTGTAAAAATAAATAAATAAATAAATAAATAAAACTTTTAAAAAAGGCAATATCTCCTTACTATTACAGATTGTGGGAGCAGAACTAATCAACAGTAAATCAAAGATTTTCAGAATGCCCTTAATAATCACAGAAAAGGGAACCTCTTACTAAGAAAAGGAGAAATCGCTTAAAACCTATTGTTTATTTTATCCTTTCAGCTGTCTTTTCTTTAATGCCTATTTCATGAAAGTGTCTTGCTATGAATACTAAGGAAGAAAGGACTGAGAGTTGTTTAATTATCTTCCAAAAATGTGCATTAAAATTTAGGTTAGTGTTATACTATCAAAGGATAAATATTGGCCTTATTTCTACCTACCCAGCTTAATGTCAGTGCCTGGCATTTTTAATCACTCTCCAGCCAATAATCTCGACTTTCTCGCTCCATTTTCTTTTCATCATACCTAGCTGGCAAGGCCCCAACCCTGAATGAATCCAACATCTGTCTTTGCCCAGCATCCACCTGGGCTGTTGAGTGCTGGTGATGAAAATCACACAACAGGGCAGATGGGCACTGATAGAAATACACGGCTGCACCTGCAAGTGAGCCCTACCTATTGGCAAGAAGTCTTGCGATTCTATCCTGCCAGCAATCTCTCTAATCCTGCCCCAGGATTATTTGAAACCTGCAATCTTTTCAGACACACAGTCATTGCTTTCCCTCTTTCCACTCCTTTCTCTCATTCACAGCAGGTGAACGTTTCTTCTTTATAGAGGAAACTGAAGCTATCCGTAAAGGAACTGCTTCAGCTTTCACCAGACCTATAGCTGTCTATGTGACCCCAGAGAAACTGAAGGGGAGACTGGAAAACATGGCCGCAGCATTTTGCACTTGCTGTTATCAACAAGTGGAGTCTATCTTCCCATTCCTTGAACCTGATTTTGTGATTTGCTTTAAACAACAGATGTGCCGGAACAGGGCTCCTCAGAGCTTACAGCTTTCACCTAAAATGTTTTTGAGGCCATACACATGGTGTAAGGTGGTCTGAGCTTGACAGCTGAATGAGGAAAGACCATGCAGAAAGACAGACCTAGTTGAGAGCCAGCATGGAGGCCACAGGCACACAAATGAGGTCTTGTTAGATCCTCCGGCCCCAGTATAGCAACCTCCTTCAGTCAGGTCAGGAATGCTGGGTGAGACCAGCAGAGCCACTTGACTGTGCCCAGCCAACCTGTACAATCGTGAGAGATTGTTGTTTTACACCGCTACACTCAGGGGGTGCTTATAGGGCAGCAACAGATACATGATAATTGCTATCCTTTTCTGCCTACCCAAAGAGAAGTGCCCCCTTCTGCTGAAGTGCCGTCCTTCCTCCATGCTCTGGGCATGACCTCTTGCTGCTTTAGAGACAGAGAACTGCTACCCTCAGTATCTCCCTTACAACTGGTCCCATTTAATCAGCAATAAAACATCTCTAGCCTTTCTTGACTAATGCTCCCTTAACTCCGAGTTCACCTCCTGGGATATTGAACTATATGCTATAGGCCCTGAGTTTCACATCCCCTTCACAGCTAATATTATGAATGAGAATAGCATGTATGTACAGAACACTTGTGCTAGGCACAATTATAAAAACTTTACATATGTCATTAACTTCCTTAACTCTCACAACAGCCTCATGAGGTAGTTGTCACTATTATTCCACTTTTAGAGCTGAGGAAATAATATAGTTTACCTTGTTAATTAGGGGAAGGTTCAAGAACAAAGGCAGCTTGCACAGCTATAGAGGCAATTCTGTTAACCAACATACTATAACTTATCTATACTTTTTGTTCCAATTCCTCACTTTGAATGCATTCTTCAGGTGAATAGAGACTGGCTTTTTAAAAATTATTTTTTTAAATTATTTAAAAAATATTTGAAAGGCAGTCAAGAGCCAGGAACTTCATCCATTTCTCCCACATGGGTAGCAGAGGCACAAATACTTGGCCATCATCTGCTGCTTTCCCAGGGGCATTAGCAGGAAGCTGGATCAGAAGCAGAGCAGCAGGGACTTAAACTAGTGGGATGCCATTGTCATAGGTAGCAGCTTAACTCACTGTGCCACAATACCTGCCACAGACTTCAATCCCTGCTTCATTACCACAACTACTCTTTTTTAAAATTATTTATATATTTGAAAGTCAGAGTTATACAGAGCAAGAAGGAGAGGCAGAGAGAGAGAAAGAGAGAGAGAGAGAGAGAGAGAGAAAGGTCTTCCATCCACTGACTCACTCCCCAGTTGGCCACAACGGCTGGAGCTGTGCCGATCCGAAGCCAGGAGCCAGGAGCTTCTTCTAGGTCTCCCAAGTGGGTGCAAGGGCCCAAGGACTTGGGCAATCGTCTACTGCTTTCCCAGGCTGTAACAGAGAGCCGGACTGGAAGTGGAGCAGCCAGACTCAAACCGGTGCCCATAAGGGATGCAGGTGGTAGCTTTACCTGCCACGTCACAGCACCGGCCCCACAACTACTCTTGTTAGTGTTAAAAATTATCTGTATTATTGGTAAGACATGCAGTATTAGTCAGGCAACATCACTCACAAGGAAGTAAAATTTGGCTTTCAAGGCGTCAAAAAAACCTTAAGATTTTACAGTGGTTTGTATCCCTCCAAAGTTCTATCATAAACAGATACACGGTATATGTGTGGTATTAACATTTCATAGGGATAGACAAGTAGGGGGTAGGAGGAACCTAAAAATGCCCCGCAGTGGGAAACAGTTGTAAAAGAAGTTAAGAAACACTGGGATATATTTAACACCACAAATTTAGTGTTCTCCTTTTCAGAACTGCTTGGAGCCAGAATGTTTCAGATTTTGGAGATTTGGGGATTGTAGAATATTTGCATAGATTTACCTATGGAGTATCCCTAATCCAAAAATCTAAAATCCCATTGGATACTTTTTTGGGCATCATGTCAGTACTTAAAAAGTTTTGGATCTCAAGCCATTTCAGATTTCAAATTTTCAGATTAGGGATGCTCAACCTACAGTGGCTTTATCTCATTTGACTTCTTGGCCAAATTCAACATTATCAACCATATCTTCTTTTTTTTCTTTTCTTTCTTTCTTCTTCTTCTTCTTCTTTTTTTTTTAAAGGCAGAGTCCGACAGTGAGAGAGAGAGAGACAGAGGGAAAGGTCTTCCTTCCATTGGTTCACTCCCCTAATGGCCGCTACGTCCAGCGCGCTGTGCCAATCCGAAGCCAGGAGCCAGGTGCTTCCTCCTGGTCTCCCATGTGGGTGCAGGGCCCAAGGACCTGGGCCATCCTCCACTGCCCTCCCGGGCCACAGCAGAGAGCTGGACTGGAAGAGAAGTAACCAGGACAGAACCAGCACCCCGACCAGGACTAGAACCCGGTGTGCTGGCGCCGCAGATGGAGGATTAGCCTAGTGAGCCACGGCGCTGGCCCAACCATATCTTCTTTTCAACCCTTCCCCTCTTGCCTTTCTATTTTTTAAAAAGATTTATTTATTTATTTATGTGGGAGGCAGAGGCAGAGAGAGAGAGAGAGAGAAAGGAGGGTCCTCTATCCGCTAGTTCTCTTCCCAAATAGCCAATCTGGCCAATCCGAAGTTACGAACCTAGTGCGTCTTCTGGGTCTACCCACACTGATGCCTGTGGGTCATCTTCTGCTGTTATCCCAGGCACATTAGCAGGAAGCTGGATTGGAAGTAGATCAGCTGGGACTCGAACTGGCACCCATATGGGATGCCAGCACTGCAAGCAGCGGCTTTACCCGTTAAGCCACAGCACCTTGGCTTTTGTGAGATAATATCCCTGAGTCCCAGGGAGATCTGGCCTCCTCCTCACTCTTCCTTTTTTGCTTCTCCTTTACTCAGCCCTTGAATGCTGAAGGTCCCCAGGACCTGTTCTTTTCTCACTGTAACACATTTTGCAGGTGATCCAATTAACTCTTGGCTGCTAATTTCCACATTCTTTTTTTTTTAAGATTTATTTAATTTATTTGAAAGGTAGAGTTACAGAGAGAGAAAAAGATAGGAGAGAGGTAGGGGGAGGGAGGGGGAGAGGGAGAGGGAGCGAGAGGGAGAGAGAGAATGAGAATCTTCCATTCACTGGTTTACTCCTCAAATGGCCACATCGGCCGGGGCTGGACCAGACTGAAGCCAGGAGCCAGGAGCTTCTTCCGGGTCTCCCACGTGGGTGCAGGGTCTCAAGCATGTGGGCAATCTTCCACTGCTTCCCCAGGTGGACTAGCAGGGAGCTGGGTTGGAATGGAGCAGCCAGGACTCAAACCTGAGCTCATGTGGGATGCCAGCATGTAGGTGTCTTTACCTGCTTCACCACAACACTGGCCATGATTTCCATATTTTTATCTCCAGCCTTTCCTTTGAGCTGGAGACTCATATATCCACCTTCCCACTAGATGTATTAATCTCATTTTTTTCTTTTTTCTTTTCTTTCTTTTTTTTATTTGACATGTAGAATTATAGACAGTGAGAGAGAGAGAGAGAGACAGAGAGAAAGGTCTTCCTTCCATTGATTCACTCCTTATATGGCCGCTACGGCCGGAGCTACACCGATCCAAAGCCAGGAGCCAGGTGCTTCCTCCTGGTCTCCCATGCAGGTGCAGGAGCCCAAACACTCGGGCCATCCTCCACTGCCCTCCTGGGCCACAGCAGAGAGCTGGACTGGAAGAGGAGCAACCGGGACTAGAACCAGCACCCATATGGGATGCCTGTGCTGCAGGCGGAGGATTAACCAAGTAAACCATGACGTTGGCCCCTCATCTCATTTTTGACATGTCTAATATGGAACACTTACATTTTTTCCTATACTTGTTCCTCTTAAAATCTTCCTCATTCAGTAAGCAACAACATCGTAGGAGTCATCTTAATTCCTTCCAGTTCTTTACTTCCCATCCAACTAATCAGCAAGACCCATGTATCTCTCCATCTCCATCTCTCTCTCTCTGTCTCTCTCTCTGTCTGTCTCTCTCTCTCTCTCTCTCAGTCTCTCAGTATTGCTCCCTACAATCCATTCTTCACACAGCAGCCAAGATAAATCACATCTGGTCACTCCCTGCCTCTCAACCTTGCAACGCCTTGCTGTTTCCATAGATATAAAATCTGGCCTTCCCACTGTAGACTAGAAGATCTTAACATCACTTGGTCCCCGTGTGCCTCTCTGTCCTCACCCCCAGGGGTTCCCCCTGTTGCTGCAATCTTATCACACAAAGTCTACTTCTGTTCCTCATTCCTAGCTAAAGGCCTTTGCACTTGCTGCCTGTCTGATCTGCTTGGACCACCGTTCTCCCCGATCGTAGCAGGTTTTGCTTCTCAACCTTCAGGTCTCAGCTCAGAGAGCCCATGACCACTCACCAGTCTAAAGGAATTCCCTCCAAGTCCCACATTCTACCACATTGCCCTGCTTTATTTCCTTTCTGATACTTGTACTGTCTCCCATTTCCTGCGAGCTCCCTGCCTCCATTTCCCTTGCCCCTCCTGTTTAAGGAGCTCTCATTTTCTTGCATGATCCTGCTTCTTATGACTACACTTAATTGGCATGAGAAAGGCCCATCTCAGCTGCAGCAGAGCACTTTCAGGGGTTTTCAGAACTGGAATTGAGAAACACAGTTAAATCATTGGTAATGGCAGACAGTGAGTAAAATTCAGCAACTGCTGTTGGGCATGTTTCCAGTTGGGTGGAGCAAATGAGTCCAATAATGCCCATATGATGAAGGGGAGAAAAGCCAGTCAAAACTGAAAGTGTTTTTGGTTGTTTTTAAAGTCTAAATTACAGTCTGGATGTTTATGGAGTTATTTATTTTTGGCATCATTATTTTCCATTTCTTTTTTTAAATCTTAATGTATTTGAGAGACAGAGAGAGAAAGCTTCCATCCCTCTGTTCAATCCCAAGATGCTTAAAATGGCCAGGTCTGGTCCAGGGCTTAAACCAAAAGTTAAGCCAGGAGTTTGCAACTCAATCTTGGTCTCCATGTGCATGAAAGGAACTCAGTTATTTGAGCCATCAACATCGCCATACACCCAGGGTCTGTATTAGGAAGAACCTGGAATCAGATGGCGGAGCCAGGAATGGAACCCACGTACTCCAACACGGGATGAGGCATCTTAACTGCTAGGTTAAACACCCACTACTGCATCAATATTTTCTTTACAAATTTAATAAAGGGTGGTAGTGTGATTGAGCTAACTTGCTCTTTCTGTGTCTTACACTATAATCACCTCTAGATACCTCATATATACCTTTTGGTGATGAAGTTGATGAACATGCCACTTGTGGAATGGGAGGTTACATACATTAAAAACATGCTTTGACCCTGAGAAAACCGAATCCAAAATGGTAGAGCAAAAAAGTATGTGTTCAAAGGCAGAGCTGAGGCAAGATGCTAAATACTTTAAAATGACAGTCACCTACCGTCAATTTCTACTTTATAGAAATTGATCCAATGAAACATATTCTAATTAAATATAATTATGCAAGCTGAGAACTTGGTACTGGCAAGGCTGGGGTCAAGAAGGGTCATATCCAGTTGCAAGAATCAGGAAAGACTTCAGGGCCAAAGTAGGCATTTGAGCTGTATGTTGAGAGATGGGTAGGACTGCAAAGGTCAGAGATGGCGTGAGGAAGCATCTCAGCCTTCAAGAACAGGACAGAGAACAGAGTATTTGGCACAAGTATAAAGGATTGTGTGAATGTCACTGGCAGTGAAACAAGCGAATGAGTGCCTATGGCATTGCTAATCACGGCATTGGGAGGTTCAGTTTTAGAGATTTTGTTAGAGATGATAGCAGAATGTTCCCTTTGATGGTTCAGGAGAAAGTTGAAATGTAGGACTGGCTTGGGGGAGGCATGTTAACACTGCTGATGTCAAATTTAGGATGTAGATATAACTACACTTTAAGCAAAGAAGTTGGGGGCATTGCTTGAAATATGGACCAGTGAGGGTCACAGACTTTGCAATATCATTGGAAGTTCTTATGGAGCAAGGAGATACGGGACATCAATATGATCGGGGGCGAGATCAAACTGAAAGGATAGCACAGTGTCTCTGATATGCTCAATTAATTAAAGTAACAATTAAGTTTGCTCTTTAATCTTTGATCTACAGGGAGTACATTCTAACACAGGTTTCTCAAGTTTTTGGAATAGTTCTATGTGCCATAAGCCCTTCTTGGTTCATTGCTTTGGATCCGCAGGCCATTTCTTACCTTGCACAACTGAGTTTACAGCTACTGCTTTTCTCTTTCCTACAAGCGCAGACACAGGCCCCCAGCTAAGACCAGGCTGGTGTCCCAGGGATAATAGCAGGGCATTATCACATGAAAAATAACATGTAAAATTGGTGTGGGATGTAACTTCTCCTGACACATTAGCCATGCTCCTTTGTAAAAGGTTCCTAGTGACTGTCTGTTTCTCTGATTTCCACCCTGATACCATGTTTAAAACAGGCCAGCTTACCTCAGTTACTTCAGGGAGAATTCATATCTTCATCCACAGTGCCTGTGAGAAGTAAACATTGGGTTCATTTTCTTTTTTTCTTTTTTTTTTTTAAAAAAGATTTATTTATTTATTTGAAAGGCAGAGTTAGAGCTCTTCTATATGCTGGTTCACCATATGGCTGCAACGGCCAGATCTGGACTGATCCAAAGCCTGGAGCCAGGAGCTTCTTCCAGGTCTCCCACATGGGTGACAGGGGCTCAAGTATATGGGCCATATTCCATTGTTTTCCAGGTTATTAGTAGGGAGCTGGATCAGAAGTGGAGCAGCCAGGATTTGAATCAGCATTGCAGGTGGCAGCTTCCCCAGCTAGGCCACAGCGCTGGCTCCTGGGTTCATGTTCAAAGGTGTTTAGCTCTAACTAGACATCTAACTAGCTTAACAGCTTGAAGACAAGTAGCTAGCTAGTATTAACAGCTAGGTTACATGCACCAGAAAGTTCTTTTTTTTAAAGATTTATCTATTTTACTTGAAATTCAGAGTTATACAGAGAGAGAAGGAGAGGCAGAGAGAGAGAGAGAGAGTGGGGCCAGTGCCGAGGCGCAGTAGGTTAATCCTCTGCCTTTGGTGCCGGCATCTCTTATGGATGCTGGTTCAAGTCCCAGCTGCTCCTCTTCCGATCCCACTCTCTGCTGTGGCCTGGGATAGAAGTGGAGGATGGCCCAAGTGCTTGGGCCCCTGCACCCACGTGGGAGACCCAGAAGAAGCTCCTGGCTCCTGGTTTCGGATCGGTGTAGCTCCGGCCGTGGCGGCCATTTGGGAAGTGAGCCAACGGAAGGAAGACCTTTCTCTCTGTCTCTCTCTCACTGTCTGTAAATCTATCTCTCAAATAAATAAATAAAATCTTTTTAAAAAATTTTAAAAATCTTTAAAAGAGAGAGAGAGAGAAAGAGGTCTTCCATCTGCTGGTTCACTCCCCAATTGGCCGCAACAGCTGGAGCTGTGCCGATCTGAAGCCAGGAGCCAGGAGCTTCTTCTGGGTCTCCCAGATGGGTGTAGGGGCCTAAGGACCTGGGCCATCTTTTACTGCTTTCCCAGGCCACAGCAGAGAGCTGGATTGGAAGTGGAGCAGCCGGGACTCAAACCAGTGCCCTTATGGGATGCTGGCACTGTAGGTGGTGGCTTTACCCACTATGCCACAGCACCGGCTTCTCTAGAAAGTTCTTAAGCAAACAGGATGTTGGTGGCCAAAACAGATGAAGCAAATGCTGGGAAGGTTGTAATGCCCATAGTACTCAGCCAATGAGGGGGAGGGACCTGCTTACTAAACAGCCCACTGTAGACCACCTGGGTGTGCGGGCTCACCAGGTACTGGATCTTGCAAGCTCATTAATAAATTTTGCTTTAACTGCACTTCTGAGTCTGAGTGTTCTTTGGGGTGGACTGGTGAGGCTATTTCTCACGATGCAGAGCAAGCCAAAACAGTAGTCAAAGTATATTTCTAAAAGTCTGAGACCTTCTGGAATGTCCTGCTCAGGTGGTGCAGGAGGTGGTGGAAGTGGGGCTACCCTCAGCACAGTGTAGTTGTTGGATTTCTTAAGATCTATGAGTAAATATGTGGATAGAGAGACACGTTGCTCAAAAAAAAAAAAAAAAAAAAAACAAAACCACTAAATACACTTTTCCAGGAAGAGTCTATTAAAGTCCATATTTGTTAATGTCATTCGTTAATGAAGCAAAGGGACAGTCCTGCTGGAGAAACACCCATTTCACTGCATTGAATGGAAATAAAAATCTCCATATCCCTTTTTAATAAAAGCTCTCATTTTTTGCATACTTGCTCTTTGCTAGGGACTTTTATAGCTTCATTTTGCAAAGCAAAAATCCAGGGTTCCATTTAATCTGATCCAGTATACTTAAATGCTAAATATTTAATATACTAGATAAAAACAACTTAATCTAAACCAGCAGTGAAGTCCCTAATTTTCTCCATGGAAACTTATGCAAGAGAAAGTCTTTTTGTGGGTTTTTCACAAAATGGTTTCGTCATCAGCATCATCGTCATCATCAGCTGTACATGGTTATTTCTGACATAAACATGTCCATTCATTCATTGATTCACTAACAAATATTTGCTGTATAGCAACATCAAGGCATCGTACTAGGAGTTTGTGGAAGATGCAAACATGACTCCTAATAGGAATTCATAAACTAGCAAGGGAGAGAAAATAAAAAACAGAATTTGATGAGTATCACAGGAATTGGGGGGGGTATTTTAAAAATGGGAAAGATCTTCTTCCCTCTGGGGAGTGGGAAATTTTAGTGGAAATGACAAAAATTGAACGCCAAAAATTAAAAACAGAGGCGCAAAGACGAGGGACAAGAGAAAAGGAGGGATTATTACCAAGGTGTCAGGACTCCTCCAGCAGACAACTTGCCTACCTTAAAATGATCAGCAAACGAACGTCTGTGGATTTAGACCTAGTAATTATACCCCCAAACTGGTGCTTTAAGGGCAGCAGTACAAAAGGCCATACTCAAAATAGCGTCGCCTCTGAATGGACGGGAAGGACCGTGAGAGCTGTCCGGGACGAGGGCAACAGCGTCCAGGAGCAGTGTGGACGCTCGTTATTGGTTCGCTTTCCCATCAGCGCATTCTAGGTTTCCAGTGAATGCCGGTACGTTGATACCACTGCGCGGCCCCTTATCGGACTGGTACCGCCACGAGTGTCTCCAGTGGCTGCCAGGGCGCTGTTTACAAATAGCATTCGTCCGATAAAGATGATGTTCTTTAATCTCCGGAGTTCAGAAGAGACACAGAATATAAGTGTAATATTCTTTAGCTTCCCTCGTACGTGAGCCTCTTGAGTCCAGTTTTGGTTCAACTCGGACTCCAGTAATACCACTGTAAGAAAAAGAAAAAGAAAAAGAAAAAGAAAAAGAAAAAGAAAAAGAAAAAGAAAAAGAAAAAGAAAAAGAAGAAAACATTTTTTTTTTTTTATCCCTTTAAGTGAATGAAACTAATCTCGTCTCGGACTACTAATCCCATCACGCAACACTCCATATTCCCACCGTGCGGGGTGGAGCCGTAAAGGGGCGGCACAGCGGCGGCCCAAGCATTCTGGGCGTTGTAGTCTGGGGCCGGGCCACCGCGGGCGCCCATCCACGTGGTACGTTTGGCGGCAGCTTTGGGCAGTGGCTCCCCGGCTCCCTTCCTCAGTGCCCTCGGGGTGCGGGCGCCAGCAGGTACTGCCAGCCGCCGCGGGAGCCGGCTGGAGTCGGGGCCCGAGGCTGCCCCAGGCTTCGCGACGCTTTTGCGACAGCCGCGGCCGTGTTCCGCGGGTGCCCTCCCTCCTCCTCTCTCTGAGGAGGTACCGGCTGTTGTGCGGCGCTGCCTTTCTGTTGGAGTGTATGGGAGAGTGAGTGAGTGAGTGAGTGTGAGCGTGTGTGTGTGTGAGAGAGAGGGTGAGGCGTGAGTGCGCGTGTGAGAGAAGCAGAGCCCACCGCGGCCGCCCCGCCGCTCCCACCGCAGCGGGAGCAGGACACGCGCGGCCGGAGAGAGCAGCGGAGCCGGCGCCCGCGGAGCCCGCGGGGACAAGGGCAGAGACACCCGCTCCCCACCCCCCGCCGTCGTCCCTCGGCTCTCCTTCGCCCGGGGGGAACCTCCCCACCCCGGCCGGCCTCTGCCCCGCTGCCCTCCTGGATGTCCCCGGCGCTCTCGCGCGGCCTCCTCCTGCTGCTGCCGCATCCGTCGCGCTGGTGCTGCGGCCGGCGGGCGTAGAGCGGGCGGGTTCCCGGGGGCTTGCGGCTGCCCGTGCTTCCCCGGTCCCCACCCCGGCCCCCGGCCCCCCGACCCAGCTCTCCGGCCTCGGAGGCTGTGACAATGGACTATGACTTTAAAGTGAAGCTGAGCAGCGAGCGGGAGCGGGTCGAGGACCTGTTTGAATACGAGGGCTGCAAAGTTGGCCGAGGCACTTATGGTCACGTCTACAAAGCCAAGAGGAAAGATGGGTGAGTGTGAGTGTGTGCGTGTGTGTGTGTGTGCGCGCGCGCGCGTGCCGGGCGGCGCTCCCGCAGGCCGAGGCAGGTAGCCCCGAGGGAGAGTCGGCCGCCGGGGTGCGGGGCGCTGACTCCCTCGACGCCCGCAGGTGTCCCCGCCAGCCGGTGTTGGGGAGGCAGTGGTGGACGAGGGCTGCGAGCCCACCGGAAAGCCTGCGTGCTGCATCTGCGTTGTGCTGGGGTGCTCGGTGGGGACAGGAGCCTCTGCCCAGTGGACTGGATACTTTCCGAGGGTTTCGGTCCTGGATTTTTTCCTCCCTCTTGTAAATGCGCTTGTAAAGCGCACTTGCAGTGCTTTCTTTTCCTCCGGTCGGTCGGTCGGTCGGTCGGTTGATGATGGTACTGTTCTGGGGCTTGGCTCAGCCGTCTCTGGAATGACATCCGTGAGTCTGCAAGGGAAGCTGCGAGCCTTTCCCCCACCAGTTTGTGACCAATTTATGATCAAATTAGGGTTTTATTTGTGGGGAAGAAGGCAGCAAGTCAGTATGGTTTTGGAGCGTTCCTCGTGACCATCGGCCACACAGATGTAGCAGTTGCTATTTGGGTATCATTAGCTGTGAGTTTTTACCTAGAACAATGGGGGTTTGGTGTAGGGTGGGTAGTGGGGAAAAAGACAAGTGACAAATAGGGGCTGCCTTGTGCCGGCTGTTTCCCCAACATTTAGCACCTGACTGTGTGCTTTAAATAATCTCTGCTTTAAATATTCTTCCCTAGAAATAACTCAATTAAATCTGACTGGTAATGCTCCCAGTTTAGTTTCCTAATAGGCTAGTGAAGTGTTCCTTTTTCCTTTGTCAGTAGGTGAATGTGTTGTAATATTGACAAAAGAGAAGGCAGTTCTTAGTTGGGGAGGAAATATATTTTATTCACTACTTGTTTTCCTCTTGTGAAAATGGATGTTGTCTCTGTAGGAGATATTGGGAAACATTGGTGGGAAGGTAATGTCATAGCTTATTATATAATCTTTGGGTTTTATTGGAAACAAAATAGCTTTACTTGCATGGCTGCTGTTGGATGTTGAAAGTAATTTTATTTTTTCAAGTTAGGTAGGAGGGGATGTTCAGATGTTCAGAAATACATTAGCACTAAAAAACGTGAAACCATTCATAAAGCTGAAGCAAGTTCTCTGGGAGAGTAGGGGGAGGCCGTATTTAGAAATACTTTAATATTCTGGATGTTGGAAAAGGAAATGTATATGTACTCAGTCTATTTCTTCGGTTTATTGAATGAAGTGTCTTTCGAAAAAATATTAAAATGGAGCCCAGGAGAAAGATAGTAGTTCTAATTAAGTTGGAGCATGTATTTCAGTGCTTTGAGCAGTAGTAAAGTAGTACAGATGTCCACAGAAGGTAAGGATTTGAAAACTTGCTGCTCTGGGTGCTACGTGCATTTAAAGGTACTTTTTAGCGTAGTGGATAGTCTGGTGACATTTGAGAAATCAGTGTCTGGAGATACTGCTGACTCTGGTGTTGTCTAATTAGATTTCTCATTGAAGTTTTACTCTGTTATGACATATATTTTAGAAATTATCCTTATTAATTTACCATACATTTTTGAAAGGCCATCAACCATCTCCCCATCCCCCAATATTATGTAACTTTGGGCATATTCATACAATCTCCAATCCCAGAAGATTAGACATGGTAGTACATTTGGCCAATTTGCTGTCTGTTTTATAAAATTCTAGTGACTTTAAATTAGTTTTAATACCTTTGAGAAGCCAGCTCTATTTTCATAAATTCCCACTTTAAGCTAATAAAATATGCAAATTTGTTGTAATTCAGATTTTATTTAAAAACTAATATTGTGTGTTGGTAGGAAGTACTGTTATTTTGTTATTTTATATCTTAATGGTCATTTTATTTTAGCCTGTTAGGAATAATTTGAAAAGAATTTAAAAATAGTAAATTATTTTTTAAAAAGCTGGTGTATTGTGTAGAAACATTTATTAGTTATTTGTGATAGTTGAACCAGTAACATTGCATTTGGGAAAAGTTTTTATTGTAATCCTTTGGGTTTGTTTTTCAGCATCCTTTAATGATTCTGTTTATATGATGAACTTTTTTTTAATGGATCAAATGTCAAGAGAGTTTTAAAATTGCTTAAAACAGGGGCCGGCGCCATGGCTGACTTGGTTAATCCTCTGCCTGCAGCGCCGGCATCCCATATGGGTGCCGGGTTCTAGTCCCGGTTGCTCCTCTTCCAGTCCAGCTCTCTGCTGTGGCCCGGGAAGACAGTGGAGGATGGCCCATGTGCTTGGGCCCTGCACCTGCATGGGAGACCAGGAGGAAGCACCTGCCTCCTGGCTTCAGATCGGCCTAGCTCCGGCCGTGGCGGCCATTTGGAGGGTGAACCAACAGAAGGAAGACCTTTCTCTGTCTCTCTCTTTCTCACTGTCTAACTCTGCCTGTCAAATAAAAAAATATATATATAAAAAAATTGCTTAAAACAGTTTGTTTTCCAGAGGGAATAGTTCTTGGTTTGGCTTCTTTTTTATAACCTGACTCTGGTAAAATACCAGATTGTAGTTATGAGGTTCTTTTGATCTTATGTCAGTAAAATGTAATTTAATACATTTTAGTCCTGGTAAAATAAAGTTTCTGGCAGTTTAATCTTTTATAATAAGTTGATCAAATAATTTGTTTCTAGTATTGATTTACTTTCAAATTAAATTATGTATTCTCCAACCGAAATTTCAGAGACCGCCAGGAAATCAAATGGTAGCTCATTCAAGGAGAATCCTGAGATTATCATAAAATAAAATAATGTAAATAAACTTTTATTTAGACTTATTTGCCTATTAAAATGAGTGTATGTAAATGTTACTTTCTTTCAGTTGTCCAGTGGGCATAGAACATGAATGAGTGGTAAAAGAATTTAGACCCCCGATGCCACAACTCAATAGGCTAATCCTCCGCCTGCGGTGCCAGCACCCCGGGTTCTAGTCCCGGTCGGGGCATCGGATTCTGTCCCTGTTGCCCCTCTTCCAGTCCAGCTCTCTGCTGTGGCCTGGGAAGGCAGTGGAGGATGGCCACTGCACCTGCATGGGAGACCAGGAGAAGCACCTGGCTCCTGGTTTTGGATCAGCGCAGTGCGCCGGTCACAGCGGCCATTGAGGGGTGAACCAATGGTAAAGGAAGACCAAGACCTTTCTCTCTCTCTCTCTCACTGTCCACTCTGCCTGTCAAAAAAAAAAAGAAATTATTAAATTTTAGGAAATAAAATTGCTTGAATCTTCATTTCTTTGATTTAATGAATGAATTTTTTACAGCTCTATGCTAGTATACACTTATGATAAAGTCAATCTTTTAAGGAATGTAGGGAAGGGGGAATATTTTATTTGAATCATGATTACAGTACAAGAGGAAAATGGGCCTTTCATAATTGTGTTAATTTCAGATTATAATAGTTAAAATATATAAAGATAGTAGAATTAAAATTCACTTGTTCTCAGTATCATAAATGAGAGTGTGTCCTTTGTGTCTGATCACTAGAAGGATACTCAGTGGGAGGCAGGGGGTTCATTCTTCTGAGTCCATTTTATCTCTTCTTTGCAGACTTCAGGCAACCAAACTCATTTTCTTTGAAAGAATGGAAAAGTATAAGAAGACAGAAAACAATTTGTCTTTTAAAATTCTAGACTCTCAATTTAGTCACTGAACATATGTAGAGTTAAAAACTCAAGTTGGGGGCCAGCATTGTCGCACAGGGGGTGAAGCTACCACTTGTGGCAGCATCCCACACCAGAGTACCAGTTTGAGTTCTGACTGCTCTGCTTCTGACTCAGCTCCCTGCTGCTGTACCTGGGAAGGTCGTGGAGGATGACCCACGTTCTTTGGCCACTGGCATCCATGGGGGAGACCCAGCTGGAATCCTGGCTCCTGGGTTTGGTCTGACTCAGCAGCTCTTGCAGTCATTTTGGAAATGAACCAGGAGATGATGGAAGATCTTTTTGTATGTATTCCACCCCCCACCCCCGCCATGTCATTCTGCCCTTCAAATAAACCAATAAATCTTTTTTTTTTTTTTTTTTTGACAGGCAGAGTGGACAGTGAGAGAGAGAGAGACAGAGAGAAAGGTCTTCCTTTTTGCCGTTGGTTCACCCTCCAATGGCCGCCGTGGCCGGCGCGCTGCGGGCGGCGCACCGCGCTGATCCAATGGCAGGAGCCAGGTGCTTTTCCTGGTCTCCCATGGGGTGCAGGGCCCAAGCACCTGGGCCATCCTCCACTGCACT